CCTTAAAAAAACTGTTTTAACGGGTTATCTGTCAATTGATTTGTTTTACTTACAGTTGTGATGACTGTTTGGCTTCCAATGAAGTTTGTGCGACTCGTGTAAAAGCAATTCCACACACATTCAGCAAAGAAAAGAGGCCTTTACTACAGTTATACAAATCAAAATAAAAGAGCCAAAACTCAAATAAAATAATAGACAATGTAGATCGTATTTCTTTATTTTACGTTAACTTAACGGTTAAAACTGTGTCTCGACAGCTTCTTCCACACAGGTTGCCCATTTCTATGTCTCTTGAAGGTCTGGCACTGTGGGAAATGTAGTCTTTCATAGTCTCTTGTCTTCAGGTCATGATTAAGTGACAATATTTGGCCTTTTTACAAAAACAAAAGACTGGCTCTAACAATATCAGTCGTAAAATGAATATATTAGCAGATATCAAACCTTTGACAATATAAACCGCTTTGAACGTCTTCATAAAAAAACCCATTCGCCCTCATTTCTAAAGTAAAATGTTTATTTAAATCCAGTTAAGTGATGACATTCTTTCTCTTTTCAGTACGCCCACTACTGATGACCTTGTCTTTGAAGACTTTGCTCGCCTGGGGCTGACGGGAACGAAGGATGAGAGCGACCCCTTCTGTTAGCTCCTCTCCCTTCTGTTAGCTCCTCCCTCTCCAGCAGCTACTTCTCCGAGTCTCCAGGTCACAGGTGCTCGACCCCAGAACACAGGAAAAAGGACTTGTGAGGGCAGCCTCCTGAAGTTTTCCACATTTGTATTGTACCATTTATTCGGTATGGGCTACTTCTAGATGTGTTTTCTTGTTAAAGGTATAAAGTCTTACTGGTTGTATTTTAGTGTTCAAAAGCAGGATTTAACCAAGTGAGGCTGATTTGTTGGAAGTACTGCTGCGTGACTATTTTTTAACCTGCTGATATCAGTATTGTACATGCTGCTGTGATTCAGGATTCATTCATAGGACGAAGAAATAAAAGTGGTATTTTTCTATACAGACGATAGGGTAGCTGTTGTCTTCAGGGGAACCTCCAACTTGTACTGCTTCCTGTTGATTATTCTTTCAAATGAAATAAATAAATCATTTTTATATCTGGAGCAGACCAAGCTAGAGGGTAGAGTTAAATACACAGAAATGATTTTATTTTTATAGTTATTTTTTGTATTTTTAGTAATCGATTCAAGCGTGAGATCAGCTCTTTAGTGCAAAGTAAAAAAAACAAGCTATTGCTCATAGTTAGTTTTACTGGGTCAAAAATTGTGAACAAAAGTATGTAAAAGTGACATCGTTTCTACATTACCTCAAACATGTCTTAGGCATTTCATTTCATGTCAGCCAATATAGTATAAAACTAAAGTAATATATCTGTGATGAGCTAATATTGGCCTGCCTCGTTAGAATTTGGGCTCTTTATCACATACAAAATGCTAGCTCGATTGTGCATTGATTATTCTGTCTATACTGTATCATCATGTAACATGCAAGTAGACCAGCTAGACAATCGATATCTAAACAGGCTTCTGTGTCTTTGTATCTATGGAGATGATTTTGGATACACACTTTTGTTTTCCCACGGTGGAGATGTAAATGTAAAGCTTTTATATGTCAATGTACGTGTAAGCTACCATGGCTTTTATTATTATTATTATAATCAATTTGTAAAACAACTAAAATGCTACCTGTTAAATAAGATGTCACCGTATAGTAAAAAAAACATATGACAAGTTTCTTTATTGGGAGTTGTTTTTTTACTCAATAAAATGAAACAAAATGTACAAATAATCAAGTGGAAGTGTCAAATGAAGGGTGAAAAACATGTTTTTTTGAAATGCCAGAGTTCAGTGAGTTGTGGACAGATGCATGGCGTCAGAGTGACGTTTCCAGCGTTAATGAGGACAGTTTGGCAAATGTTACTGAGGGGTTGAAGACAAAAGAGACTTGTTAATTTGGGCAAAAAACGTCCTGGTCACCGTCTGCTGCACTTGAATTGTGCTCCTTTTTATTTAGCCTGATCTGACTTTAATGAGAGAGACGCATCTTGGTCAAGGAATTATGTTTTTTCTTTGTTGCCTTCACTTTCCTAACGAGATCTTTTTGAAATGTTAAGACTGTAATGGCCATCCAGGTCCACATCAGGGTCTTTGTGTATTATGTTGTCACTGATAATATGGGTCTAATAACATATCTAACAGATCGTTTTGGTAGAGAATCTTTCACTCTGCTTTTCCTCAGATGAATCTCAGCATGAAGTGAATGGGTGATAGTGTGCTGTGTCCATGTGATAACTGGGTGTAATATGGGGCTAATATTGGGGTTGCATAGGTCTAATAACAGATATCTCACAGATCGTGCCAGTCGAGGGTTTGTACCTCTGCTTTTGAGATTTCTCTTGGTATAATGTGTATGGGTGCTAGATCATAACAAGTGCTGATTATGGCAAAACATTTGGTATCAAAACATCGCCACCGAACAAAAGAATATACCCAGAAATGCAACATCTTTCTTGAATTTCTTGTGATTCCCTCTCTGGTCTCATGTTGGCTGCTGCTGTTGTTGCTGTAGTTGTTGCTGTTGCTGCTGTTGTTGTTGCTGCTGTTGTTGTTGTTGCTGCTGTTGCTGCTGCTGCTGCTGCTGTTGTAGTTGCTGCTGTTGTTGCTGCTGCTGCTGCTGCTGCTGCTGCTGCTGCTCCAGCATGACTTCACAGGTCCGTCCCAGTTCTCCCAGTTTCACCTTGGCGTACTCGGCTCTGTTCAGCGCCATCTGACAGTCCTTCCTCGCTGAGTAAGTAGAACCTTCGTGAGGCTGACCAGTAGCCACCTGGGGGGGGGGGGGGAGAACAGTAGAGTCACTGCTTCATTCTTTGACTTATAATAGGATGCAAATGCAGTACTGAACAACACTTATCATTGTCGATTGGAATCCTACTATAAGATGAGATAAGCTTAAATAGTACTAAGCTATTTTCCCTTTTAATGATCAAATAAAACACATTTCAATAGAAAGAAAGGCAACACAAATAACTTGGAAATGCAAAACTTGAAATGTAATTGGAAAACAGAGCACCCCTTTTATTATTGCAACTTTAAAGTTACAGTTTTACCTAAGAAGGTGTTCAACACTGTTCACACTAATAAGCAAGGATATATTCAACATTAAATACACAAAATGTCTTAACTAACTAGATCAATACAAAACTATTTGCTTTTTTAAGATTACATTTTTGTTCTTTTTGCCTTTATTTGACAGAGTCCTGGGACATTGTGCTACCAAGGCACTTACAGAACTGTATTCAAAACAAATAACCGTTTTTGAAACACAACTTGTACTATGGGGCGATATTTTGAAATGTTTGCAGGGTTATAAAGCACAAATGAAAAGTACTGTTACCTGTGTGAGGTAGCGGATCTGGCCGCTCAGTTCGCTCTCCACCCGGTTGATGGAGCTCTGGAACTGGACCAGCTGTCTGTCCAGGTGACTGGCGTTGTGTTTGTCTTTGGAGAGTTCCAGAACTATATTACCTGCAGGGGAAGCATACAACACACCACATTAGTGGCCCTTTAGGGGCAGCAGAAAAAGCACTAAACAAAAAATCTGACAGATGAACCCATAAAGGTGATGTGGTAAACATGTTAGCAAACGGTTGCTCTGAATACACAACCAGCAGACAGATCAACATGTAGGGTCATGTTCATGTCCACCTGAGGAATGTCACACTTATGTTCACTCTTCTTTTAGCTCGAGTTTGGTCTCCACCATCTACCGAGAAGAACATCTATCTTTTTAGCTGCTAAATGCTCCACTATGTCCACCAGCTATCTCTAACAAAAAACACCATTTAAACACCTTTTACTTTACACATTCAGTCCATTGATAATAACACATATTGATGAGTTTTAAGAAATATGTTAGTTCTCATGGCCATTTTCAGACTCATCTTTTAGGGGCCAAATTGCAGCAATTTGATATAGTGCTCAAGTTGATGATGTACTTGTGTTGGGCATCTACAGGGGCCCTCTGCAGGACACACACTCCTCCATGGTAATGCAGGGCCTGTCATCGTCCATATTGTACTTTGTTTTTTATTTATATTGTCTAGCAATATAAAGGTAATGAACAAGGATTCCCCAAAGGTGGAAACCATATTCCATGGGCTGACAACGCATCTCAAGTATGCAGTGGTTTAGAGTAAGTACATTAACTCAAGTACAACATTGAGGGAATTGTACTTTACTTGAGTATTTCCATTTTTTGTTACTTTGTACTTCTACCCCACTGCAATTCAGAGGTAAATGGTGTACTTTTGCTCCACAACAAGTATTTAATACCTTTAGTTACTTTATAGATGTGGATTAATGTTTGGAAATATAATCAAGTCTTAAATCAGACTTTAGTTCCACCTGGAGTAAATCCACAAGCTACCCTGCAGTATACAAAGTCATTCAAACTAGCTGCACCTTTACCAGCTTTGAGAACACTTTCATGATCAATCATTATAAAACATATCATATATATTATTCTGAAATGGACCAATGTGCACAATGACTACCTTTACTTTTGGTACTTTAAATATACTTTGATGCTAATACTTTTGTACTTTTACATGAGTCACATTTTGAATGCAGGACTTTTACTTGTTCCAGAGTATTCCTTCACTCTGGTACTTCTACTTAGAGTTAGGTACAAGAACTGAGTACTTCTTCCACCTCACCAGCTGTACATGATGCATTCTTTCTGTTGAAGTTAGTGAAACGCTTCCTCACCAGCACACTGCAGGGTCGTCGCTATCTCCTTCTCCACCTCCTCCAGAGCTCTGAGCCGCTCGTTCGCCATGAGCAGACGGGAAACAACCAGCAGCTCTCAGAGAACACCTTCTACTCCCACAGTCAAACTTCACCCTGTGGACAGGAGTCAATCTAAAGCTGCTCGACTGACTGAAACCTGAGCACAAGCGGCTAAAGCGGCACATCAACAAAGAATGCGACGCCACTCAGTCGCACAGTTGTGACGTCCGTTTATCAGAGGCAAGATGGCTACATCGGCTTGGATGCGTGGCCCCTCTGCTCTGCGACTAACGGAGGGTTTGGTATCGGTTCTGAAGGAACAGCGTCCAGAATATTTACCCGCTTTGTTGGCAAACTACAGAGAGCATGGCGTGTTTCAGACCCAGGTACAGCCCGCCCCGGGGAAGCACGTTAGCTTGGAAGCTAGTTACCTGTTAGCCGCTGTGCTACTCTGCTGCACGCTGTGTTGTTCCCTGACATGTGTACCTGCAGAAGAGCTGTGGCTGATAACTAATCAACTTTCATCAATAATAGTAGTGGCGCGTGTATTTAAACTCCTGTGTTTCTCTTTCAGGGCGCGAGCGCTGTTGGTGGTCTCGTGGGTTTCAGCAATGCCAAACTGGGCTCGAGCAAAACCAGGTGAGAAGAAGTCAATTCAAGTCAATTTGATTTATAACGTTTTTTTTTTTTTTAAAAGCACATTACTTACAACAAAGTTAAATTACATTATGGTAAAATGAAAGATAAAAAAGTCCTGTTTCTTGTCAGTTGTCATAATATTTCGGCCTTCACTAAACATGTGACATCAAAGATATGGTGTTAATGTCATTGCATCATTTATTTTTGTGTATTTAGGCAGAGGTGGAACAAATACTCAGATATTGTACTTGAGTTACCAGAGTGTAGGAATACTCTGTGAAAAGTCGTGCAATCAAGGAATGGCATCAAAATATAGTTAAAGTAAAAGTAGCCATTGTGCAGATTGGTCCATTTCAGAATAATATATATGATATGTTTTATAATGATTGATCATTAAAGTGTTATCAAAGCTGGTAAAGGTGCAGCTAGTTTTAACTAGAGAATGCAATTCCTGAAGAAATTGCTAGTGGGAATGCTTTATGCTGAAAAGCTGACGCTGAATTGCTATTCTGAAATGTAATGTGTAAGAAGAAAGTGAAGAATTTAGATTGAAATGATACATGAACACTGGGGGCTTGAATGTGTGATAAGAAACGAAAGTCAAAAAGCTTGGGAAAGCAGCAGAATATTTGAACTGCAAACTATTGAACTAACTTGATGACGAATGATCTGTCGCCATGGCAACGGTATTTGATGACACCCCATAATACGCTTAGATGTTTTGACGGCTGGACTGTTGGCACACGTGAAGTTTGAGCACTTTTTGACCATTTTCATAGGAGTTATAGCAATATCGTGATTTACGGCGAGAGATGCGTTGCCATGGAAACAGCCTATGGTGAGATCTCAGATTTGGTGTAGAGCTGTTGAGGCATGGACCGGTGATATACAAGCGAAGTTTGGGGGCGATCGGACCGTGTCCATTGGAGTTACAACGACATCGTGTTTCATGGCGAGGGATGCGTTTCCATGGAAACGGCATATGATGACACCCCATAATTGACATAGAGCTGTTGGGGGCCGGACCATTAACCATTATCTGAAGTCTGGTGCTGTTTTAGACCATTTACATAGGTATCACGACAACATCGTGTTTTTTTGGCGAGGGATGCGTTTCCATGACAACAGCCTATGGTGAGATCTCAGATTTGGTGTAGGGCTGTTGAGGCATGGACCGGTGATATACAAGCGAAGTTTGGGGGACGATCGGACCGTGTCCATTGGAGTTACAGCGACATCTTGTTTTATGGCGAGGGATGCGTTTCCATGGAAACGGCATATGATGACACCCCATAATTGACGTAGAGCTGTGTTAACCATTATCGGAAGTCTGCTGCTCTGAGCATGTCAGTTGGAATTATGACATCATTGTGTTCCATGACACGTGTGTTTCAGGGTTTCCGCTAGGATTTTTTCTTGCCGGTCAAATGTCCGGACAGAATTTATTTTACCGGACAAATTTGAAACTTACCGGTCATGTTTCAATAATAATAATAAAATAAGAATTGTGTAGCAGAGTTTCCGTTAGCAGGTAATTACCGGACTATGACCGGATATGCTGATGTTTAAAACTCAGTTAATGGGGCTCATTTTTATATTGCTTCAGTTTATAATCGTAACAGATCGAAAAATTCAGATTCATTTTTCAATAAATGATTCCACAAACAACATAATTATTACATTCAAACAAACTACTTGTAGTAGATGAAGTGCATTATTCAAAAGTTTACATTAACTTTGAATAATAACACGGGAGAAACGGATCCTCTCTCTCCTGACAGCCCGTCAGGTTCTCATGCAGCTCGCTAAACAGTGGGCGGGGCTTCAGGTGATTATACAGAGCTGCGTGCCTCTGTCATACTCCGCAGCTGATCTGATCTCTCTCTCGCGTCCAGTTATACTTCACTCGCGTTTATGTCCATATCGATCAGATCCAGCTCTCCTGATCGGCCTTTATAGAGAGCACCGATCAAACTATTAAGAGTGAATATCGGCCGATAATGACCATGGCCGATCGATCGGAGCATCCCTAATTATTACCGGACATTTTGACCGGCAGGTTTTGAATTTACCGGTTTTTAATAAATGCTACCAGCTAAAAACCTGTAATTACCGGCTAACGGAAACCCTGATGTGTTTATATTTGAGCTTACGACGTGTCCAGAGATCAAAGGTTTCCATGGTGATATGCAGTAATCAGTGAGAGGAGAGCATTTTCATTGAGCATCTTCATTGTAAACCTGTTACATGTGAACGTTTTGTTGAAGAACCGTAACAGATATCGGTGAAATTTCAAAGCGTGAAGCATGTCAAGGAACTTGAGCATCTGAAGTGTGCTTTTTGTGGCCTTTTTGGCAGATTCACTAAAGGTGTGCGGCTGCTGTGGTGGGGAAAGATGAGGCTGAACTTACAATGGGGTTTAATGGAGACATGTTGAACGTTTTTGTCACTTCATGCCCTCAAGAGGCATTTTAATTTAATTATTTAGCTTAATCTTTTTGAATTTTTCAAGCTACGAGATGTTTTCCTACGTTTCTCATGAAAAATTATGTCTCAGGAATGTCGGGTTTGGGAATTATGGCAGGTTTAAAAGAAAATATGAAGGCAAAATTAAATCTGTCCTCTACTCTAGCTGTGACATCACGCACTCTAAAATCTGAAGAAGGCCTCTTTACCAAGGTCTGAACAATGTTTAATATCTCTAAAAGTACGAATCAGATTTAAAAGTTGTGTTACACGAATAATGTCAGAAAGATGTGTAACATTTTAAAGTTGGAATGAGGTTTCTGAGTGAAAGTATGAAGGAGCAGTTAGCAGTTGAAGTTGCATGAAGATTGTTCAAGTCTGAAGAGTTTCTCCATTGACTTCCATGTTAAAAATTGGATGAATTATGGGATGTATCTCTGGAATTATGAAAGTTATGAATGAGAAAAGTAATAGCCATCGATTCCCGACCGAGCTGAACGTTTTGATGTTTGAACGGAGTTTCTGCGATGTGGAATGTGGGAGAAGAAGAGGCGCAAAATAACCCGGCGGAATAATAAAGAATTTCGTGCGTAGCATAACAGATAGACTTTGTATACTGCAGGGTAGCTTGTGAATTTACTCCAGGTGGAACTAAATTCTGATTTAAGACTTAATTATATTTCACATCATTCATCCAGATCTGTAAAGTAACTAAAGGTATTTAATAAATGTACTTATTTACTTTACCTCAATGCAAAGCACATTACTTACAACAAAGTTCAATTACATTATGGTCAAAATAAATACATAAAAGTCCTGTTTCTTGTCAGCTGTCATAATATTTCAGCCTTCACTAAACATGTGACACCAAAGATAATGTGTTAATGTCATTGCATAATTTTTGTGTATTTTGGTATTATATTAATGGTATGGACGTAATCATAATAATAATACTAGATCATACTTTCATTATATAATGTCTCATTGTTTTGAGATACTAATGAAATATTTTGATATAGTTTCCCCCTTTTTCTGGAGATACTAACTTATTATAATGAGCGTTTTGCTTTATTTTGAAATGTAATTCTAAACTGCGATTAACAAGATGGAAGTTTAAGTGTCATTATGGAGACATCATATGTTTTCCCCCTGTGTGTGTGTGTGTGTGTGTGCGTGTAGGTTTGAAGGGCTGTGCCTGCTCTCCATGCTGGTCAAAGACAGCTCCAGTGATCTGTTCCAGCAGCACTGTGTCTCCTGGCTGCGCTCCCTGCAGCAGGTCATCCAGGTAGGATACACATACAGGCACACACATCGGCTGTCATGGTAACTACCTAACTGACTTGCTGTATCGATATGGACATGACCTCGAACAATTGTATGCTATTTTCTTATCGTACCGTATAAGGACATGACTTAGATAGTTTTTTTATTATCGGCTTGTCATACAATATTTCATTTCATTTTTTATTTGTTCCGTTCATGGTATGCACACCTTAATGTATAACAATTATTTACAAAACATGTCTCTATAAACACACCATACCCGAGAAGACATAACCTTGATAAGTTTTAAGTTACCATCAAATAGTACGATTTTTAGACAGGTCTTCGATAAATTGATCAACTTATTGTACAATTTTCGGACAGGACTTGGATAGTCTTCACATTATTTACTTATATTTTGAAATATATATATATATACAACCCCTAGATAATTTTTACATTATCGCATTGATGTACAATATACTGACATGTCCTCGATGATTTTGATGTTACCGGCAAATTGTTAAAAAAAAAATGCAAAGACTTTGATAATTCTTGTGTTTTCAACCTTTTTTGCAATTTATTGACAGGACCTCGATTATTGTTACATTACCAACTTATTGTACAATTTACATTAGGGTGGTCCTTAGTGCCATGTACATTTTAGAATTCATTTATTTTAAGCTCCAACCACCGGAATTCGTTATGATAGTCAAGAAAACTCTCCTGGTGAATTTTATTCAAATTCCAACAACATTTACCCCTCCCTCATCAACCTTGAAGTTTAGCCTCAGTAGGGTGGTCCTTACATTTGAAAGTCGGAAAGTCTAAGCTCCAACCCCCAGAATTAAATGTTGTCAGATTGAGGAAAAAATTCACCAGGAACCTTTTCTTGACTAATAGAATGAATTCTGGGGGTTGGAGCTTAGACTTTCCGACTTTCAATTTTAAGGACCACCCTAGGACATGACCTAGATTACTCTCACGTTACTGTCAAGTAAATAGTACGATATTTGGACAGGACCAAGATCATTCTTACATTTGACTTATCGCATGACATATGAGCATGACCTCGATAATTTAATTTTTACGACTTATTCTACAATATAGGGACGTTTGATTTTTACATTATTGTTTTGCCATACAATATATAGACATGACCTTAATTGTTTTTGCTGATGCACATTTGTCTACATAACAATGTCAACCTTAAAATCTCACACCCTTTTTAAAAAATATGTTTCTGTCCTCTAACTCCCTGTTTTGTGTATATGAATTTCCTCCCATAGTCTCAGGCTCCGGTTCAGACCATCCAGCTGGCGGTGAACATTCTGAAGGACCTCCTGCAATACTCCTCTCAGCTGCCAGAGGTGGCCAGGGAGGTCGGCCTCAACTCCATCCTGGGCATCCTCACATCTCTGCTGGGCCTTAAGACGGAGGTGTGGGTCCATCAATATATAACTTAAACAACAAGTCAAGAGATGAATGACACGGACAAGAATGATCAGTTGTTGCAGCCCTTTAGTAACCATCTTTGTTCCTCAATTTTCAGTGTGAGCTGGCAGCCATGGAGGGGATGACGGCCTGTATGACCTACTACACCAGAGCCTGTGGATCCCTCAGGGTAAGATACACTCAGGACAGATGAGATAAAGGAGACGGGAGATAATGACTTTTTCTCAATAAAGAAAAACTGTCTTTTCATTTTAGGACAAACTGGGAGCATATTTCCTCTCTAAAATGGACAGCACAAACAAGAAGACACAAGAGGTTGGTAATTCTGAAGCTGATATTAACATTTTATTGATGTTTTGATGAAGATGTATGTAATGGTACTTTTTACCTCAGGATTGCACACACAATAGGAGTAACTGCACTTTTAACCACATAATTAAAATGTTACTTCTACCCAAATAATGTTTGAAATATGTTGGGAAATACTGTTTAGGTTGTGTTGTATTACACTAGACCGGAGTTCAATGCAGAAAAGTGCAAGGGAAGCAATACATCATAAGTGAACCTCTCTCGTTGTCATTGTGTCAGATGGCCTGTCAATGTTATGGCCGCCTGCCCTCTCTGGGGGGCCTGTTGGACCGAGGGGTGAGTGCTGGTAGAGCTGAGGGCTGGACCAATCAGATTCATTGCCTCCTGGCTTCAGCCAATGGCCTGCTGGCTCAGATCTTCCACGGATCAGAAACAGGTACAGTTTGTCGGTCCTTATCGAAACAAATTAATATCTTGGTTTGACGATGCAGTTGGTTGAAAAAAGCCCTTCCTGTTTGCAGATGGAACAGTTCAATATGAAGGACCGGGGGTGGAGCTGGCCTTTCCTCACCTCGACCAATCAGATCCTGTGCTGCTGCTGCAGCTCCAGCACAGATTCACAGCTGTCTGCCTGGCACTTAAACACACACTCGGGTACAACACAAAAACCTTTACATGAATCTCTACCTTCTAAAAGGTCTGTTTACTCAAATAAAAAAAGATGCTTTGCTAAGAAGACCATCTATTTAAAGGATTACACTTCTTTGTTCTCATTGGCTCTTGTCTCTGTCCATCAGGGTGGATCCATCCTCTGCTGTCCGTCTGCCTGTCAGACCCATACTCAACCTGGTGTGCCGAGCACTTGCTGTCAGCTCCAAAAGCATAGTAAGAACCCCACACACACACACACACACCGAGTACCTCAAAACAGGATCATATTTCATGATCATCAATTCATAGACATGCAAGTAAACAATATTGATACTAATCCATGTTTTTTGTTGACTGTCAGAATTTAACAGGAGATGGTAGTGTGAGGTTGCTGGTCTTACCCATCATACACACCAACACACTGGAGGTCTTATCAGCTCTTATCACAGCGTGAGTACTGTATGCATACACAAACACACATATTTGTGTGACTTGTGTGTCATATACCTATCTATGCTAAGATGCATTGCTGACACTGTCTCTCCTTGTGTGTTCCAGTGTGCGCTGTGGCATGGTTCAGTACGCTGCTGTCCTTCAGAGGCTGTTCTCTCAGACCCTCTCTGCCTGGACGCCTCTACCTGAAGCCAGCCTGGGCCAGCAGAGAGCCTACAGGTAACATGCTGCGGTGATACACAGGATACAAACTGGTCCATTAAAGGGAACGTTCCCCAACTTTTCTGTGAATGTCCAATCACTGATGATGCTAATTAAAGCACTCATTTATAATACCAGGATGCATTGCGATCAAGCTTCTCATTCCCCCCAACCACATCCTCCCAGCGCTAGCCTCGGCTTCTCTCCACTGCATTATATTAGATGTATTCTCAATAAACTGGGGAATATCCGAGTCAGCCAAACCACTGTTAAAAGTATCCTCAACACAACAGCCTCTGCATTCATACTCGGGATGCCATTTTCAATGTTTGAAAGGTAGCTAGCTTGCAATACTATCAAAGAAAACTAGGCCATTCTGGAAATGTACTCCCCTTGCTTCCCAGAAAAGAAATCTAGTCTCGGATAACCCTAAAACTGGCATTTAATGTTCCGAAGATTAATTGATTGCTATCTTCTACATTACACCCATAATATTACATTACATGTCACTTGTTAGACACTTTCATCCAAAGCGACTTGCATACATTCAGTACTGTGGACAATCCCCACAGGAACACTTTGGGGTGAAGTGTCTGGTCCAAGGACACAGCGGAATGTTGAGGATTCCGTGATCCGAAGATCAGCGCACTAACCACTGAGCCACAATACACATAAATACACCGTTACTAGACCATTTTTACACCCGTATTATACCCCTGTTACACAATAATACACTTCTATTGAAACCATAATTACACTGTTATATAACACCCATTTTACACATAGACACAGCCTGTCAAATACATGTATCGTCCAGGATACAGAAACCACTTATAATATAATATATAAGTATAGCAAGCACTGAGGAATTGATTGTGTCAATTAACTGCATTTACCAACGACACTGATCCACATACATGGTGGGCCATTTTTCTTTAACGGGCTGAGACCTGGAAGATGGCTTAAGCTGTGTTATGATGTCAGGTTTTGAACTGGCAGTTAAAGCCTTTCTCTCGTGTGTCTCCCCTTCCTCCCACAGCTCAGTGAGGGTCTCGGTGTACAGGACCCTGGAGCTGTGGGTCCAGGTGGCCGGAGCCTCTGCTAGCATCCTGCAGGGGAGCCCCGGACACTCAGAGCTGCTGTTCAGTCACCTGCTGGGTGACATCACACCGGGGGCCGATTCCATCAAGGTTAGTTTGAATGTATTCAAGAACCATGAAATCCCTTTTTCGAAACCTGAGGAGAAGCAGTAGTTTGCAGGAGCAGGTTCCAATTGTTCCCTTTTTATCTGTTGTTTGTGGAGCCAAGGAGGAACGAATCAAAGTCAGTGCTGAACTTCAGTCGGCAATGTTCAAAACAACAGAAAAGGACAGAAATCTAGGTGTACTCATGGACTAGCCTTCTATCACCTTCATCTATCTCGGATCAAAAGACTAATGTCTCAGCAGGATTTGGAAAAATGTGTCCATGCATTTATCTTCATTAGACTGGGCTACTGTAATGGTATCTTTTTAGGTCTCACCAAACAATCGATGAAACTCCCAGAAACCGGCAGGTCCGCTGCAACTCTTACTATTTTAAAACCCAGGCTGAAGACTTGCTGCTTTTCATTGAATCAAAAAAACTATTCATATCTTGCACTGCACTTTAACTTTGATTCTTGTACTTATACCTGTATTATTCACAAATAGCTTATTTTATGTTTATTTTATTGTCTTTGCTTTTTAATGACTATTTTTCAATGTATTTACATAACATTTTTTTATTGTGATTCCACTTAAAGCTCCTAATGTCTTTCATTTGTATAAAGCACTTTGAATTGCCTTGTGTTGGAAGTTGCTGTATAAATAAACGTGCCTTGTCCTGCAGCTCCGAGCAGGTCTGTCCTCTGATGCGGTTCCTGGAGGGAAGCCGGGCCCCCGGAGGACCAAAACACTAGTGATGTCAGACTCAGTGGGGCCGTCACTGCAGAGGAAAGGAGACGTTCTAGCCAATCAGGACACCTGCCTGTCAGCGCTCAGGGGTGAGATTCTGCTTCCTATATAACACTTGTGTTATCAGTCTGTTTCTTAAATCTCTTAATTTTGTAAAGCACTTTGAATTGCCTTGTGTTTAAAGGTGCTATATAAATAAACTTGCCTTGCCTTGTTCTGCAAATCCAGGAAATGACACTTTTCTTTTCCCCCAGCACTGAGGCACATCATACTGACCAGCGGTACACTCCTGAAAGACGATATACACAAGGTAAATGTCAACACGTGAACCCACGCTCTATTGCTGGACAGACACCTTGTTCCCTTTTTAGAAAACAAACGTACAGTCTGTGATTCTCCCCTCTGTTGTGATTCCCCCCCCCCGCAGCGCCTCCATGACGTGGTGCTGCCGCTCTGTGTGCGCCTGCAGCAGCAGCAGTCCAGCAGCAGCACGTCGTGTGAGTCCGCCGGCAGCGTCAGCGGCCAGTACAGCAGCGCCCCCAGCAGGAAGGAGCTGCACAGGTAATCAGACACAGAGAGAGATTTACACCTTCTGTTTTGTAGCACAGACGAGACAAAAGAAGGCTGTTGTGTAATGGATGATGTATTCATATCAGTGTTTTTTTCCACTGGATATTTTAGGTTACTGTTGGCTCTGGTCCTGGTCCCTTCTCCCTGCTGGCCTCCACCTCTGACCTGTGCTGTGTCCATCCTCAGCAAGGGACGCAATGACCGCAACCTCAAGGTGACTACAGGAGGGAGAATGTAGGGGGGGGGAGGAGTCTGAACAGAGCATGACTATTGAGCTTCTATAGGTTTTAGTGCATGTATATGGTCTACAAAGGCTAAAATCCCAAAGTTCACAGCAGACACACACACACTCCCACCCCCCCTTACCCCCAGACTCCTTTGTTTACTTCCTGAACATCCCTATGTAACTCTGTGCTTCTATTGGCTAGCGCACAACACATTTACGTGCTAAGGGGCGGGACAGCTAACCAATCGGAGCAGACTGGGCTCTGGTTTCAGACAGAGGGTGAAAAGAGGTGCTGCAGCACAGGCAGTATGAGAGAAAAAAATAGCTTTTTGAACATTAAAGCATGGAGACATGTCAATAGGGCCCTTTCATATGTTTCTTACTCGCTTTACTATATTTAAGTCTTTTGTAATGTACTCGAGTCTTTTTTCTTTTCTGGGTTTTTCTGCTACTTTATACTTCTACTCCATTACATTTTACAAATACATATTGTACATTTTACTCTACTAAAATGATCAGATTGCTTATTGAAACAAAGTAAGGTTAACTAATTTAAAGAGTTGCTGTGTTACCCTTTTTACCTTAACTTGACATTGCTGTGCAGAGCCACAGAAAACATAGAGAGAGGGGGGGTATGACTGTAAGAAAGGCCCCCTCTCCCAAGTGTCATGTGTACATGTGTAGCCGCTGTTCTGCTGTCAGTCATTTCCCAATTTTACTGACTCTTTGCTCATCCCCCGCCCCCCCCCACAGGTCTCTACATTCTGCATCGAGGCTCTGACCATCTGTAACTCCCTCCTCCACCCCCGCATTCCCTCCATCTCCCTCCCCTTACCACCCCTCACCCTGAAACCCACCACCAACGCCCCAGTCCTCCCCAACTCTCAGGCCACCGGACTCACCTTGCCGACGCTCCTCGGAGGCCCCGCCCCCGGCACCCCCTTCTCCACCCGCCACTCCCTCGGCCTGGGCTCCGCCTCCCTGCTGGGTTCCCTGGAGAACCACCTCTCCCTGGTCCCGGGGCTGCCGGGCCAGACGGACATGATCCTGTCCCCCCACGCCCACCACCAGCAGGACGCCGCCGGGCTGGGCCTCCCCGAGGGCCAGCGGCCGGTGTTCGTGCGCTACGACCGGGAGGAGGCGGAGGACGTGGAGATCTCCCTGGCCAGCGACTCTGACGACAGCGTGGTCATCGTGCCCCCGGGCATGCTGCACCTGGAGACCCAGCAGGACGAGGCGGCCGCCGCCGCCAACTCTCTGAACATGGTCAACGCTCCAGGGGGGGCCACGCTCCCTCTCCCAGAGTCCCTCTCCATGGTCCCCACCACAGCAGCCACCACCATAGACCGGGTCTCCCTCCCCAACGACCTGGCCACTTCCTCCCCTCTCCTCACCACCTCCACCACCCCCATCAACTCCTTCCCTCCCTCCAACTCCTCCGTGGTCTCCCTGGTTCCGCCTTTGAACTCCAGCTCTCTCTCGGCTGCACCTCTCGGGGACTCGTTGCCGGGCCGACCGCAGCTTCAGCAGATGCTGATGCAGCCCCCCGCCGCGGGGCAGCCGCTCCAGATGCACCAGCTGCAGAACCAGCTGAGCCAGTCGGGGCGACACCTCCACCAGCACCAAGCCCCCCCGGCCAGCAACGAAGACTCCGCCGTCATCAACATCAACAGCACCGATGAGGAGGACGAAGAGGAGGAGGACATGGAGGACGACGAGGAGCTGGACGAGGAGGAGGAGGGCCTGGACGAGGAGGACGAAGATGAGGAGGCGAGCGATTTTGTAGAGGAGGAGTTCTACGACGGAGAAGAGTACGATGATTACGACGAGGAAGAGGGGGAGGAGCTGGAGGAAGACGAGGAGGAGGATGGGGAAATACCTCCACTGGAAGGAGCAGAGGGCAAGGCGGGAGAGGCGGGGATAGAGGGGGGGAAGGTGCTCAGAGCGGTGGTGGATGAAGGAGGGATGGCGGGATTCAGCGTGGAGGCGGAGGCAGAAGGAGGCATCGAGGAGATCCAGACCAACAGGGCCATGTTCGGAGAGGACCGGGTGAAGGTGCAGAAGGTGGAGAGCATCGGAGTGCTGGAGGAGGCGCGGGAAGGGGAGGAGGACGAGAACGAGAGGATGGACGACCCCACCATGCCTCAGATCCTGTGTGTGACCGGGGGGGCTCTGGAGGACAGGGAGGAGGCTGAGGAGGAGGAGGGAGGGGCAGCGAGAGGAGGAGAGGGAGGGGAGCAGGAGGAGGCCAGGACGTGGGAGCAAGGAGCCAATGAGATCGAGCTAAAGGCGGCCTCAGAAGAATGCACAGCCAATCAGAATCAGGTTGGTGACCCAGTTTTAAAATCTCACCTTTAGAAAATATTTTTAAAGTGCATATAAAAAATATATATAATCTACTAAAAGGAGGTGTGAGTTTTGTTTAAGCTGAGTTTAGTTAAAGGACATCTGTTACAAATAGTTTGAAGTAAGGAGTAAAAATAAAAGGCTAATGGAAAGAATGAAAAACATAGGAATGTATTCAGGTTAGGGGGAGACAATGGAGGATGGGTTAAATGAAGAGGCAGAAGCTTAGCAAAGTAATACAACGACAACAGGTCACGGTATCTCCCATCAAACAAAGGACTATCATATTTTGTCACATTTGGGAAGAACTCCAAACATAATTCTTTCTTCACCTACTTCCACATCTTCCTCTATGAAACTGGGAGGAGAGCATTCTGTGCCCTCTCCTATTATCTGTGTTTTGTTCTGTAACAGTAGATAGATAAGCTGCCATTGTTACAGTGTTGTTACAAGGAAACCTGACCCTCTTACCCTGAACAGGAGTCAGCAGATGAGCCTGCACAGGAAGCCAGTGTGAGTGACAGCCTGCCGTCCAATCAGCAGGAGGCGCAGCCTGAAGGGGAGAGAGACCCCGCAGCAGCAGAACCTGCCACCTCCACCGGCCCCAACACAAAGCAGGAGGAGGCGGAGGCGGAGCAGGCGGAGCAGGCGGAAGCTGGGGGGGGGGGAGAGTGACGGAGAGGAGGGCAAGGGGGTGAAGAGGAAGAGGGAGGAGACGCACAGGGAGGAGGAGCCAGGCTGTGAGAAGAAGAAGGTAAAAACACATGGCTGGATGTACTCAGTCAGGTTTATAGAGAATCCATCGTGCAAGGTGTGATTATTGAACAGATAGGAGACTTGAAATCAGTTGAAGCTGACACAAAAACATACAGCTTTATTTATTTGTTATGCTGTAGAGAGAAATGAATATCTATATATAATACAAACAGCTTCGCTCACAAACCATCAAATAAGTAAAAATACAAATAAAAAGTTGAAAACAAAAAAAACAGGAATAAAATAATAACAGCCATATAGTAAAAACAATAGAGCTTTTATTTGACAGGTTTGTGATTTAAGAATATTCTCTAATGATAAAAAGAGAAAAGATCTTAAATAAACAACATGCTAACATAGAAATGTTCAGGAGCAAATGAATCGCTACATACCTGGGTTTCTTCAGAGCAGTCATTCAAAAGGAAATAAAAGCAGAAATGATTTATTAGTCAAACACCTATTTCCACACTCGGGTTAAAACAGTGGGTCGTATAACCACTACCGTGTTTGTGTGACGCCACACGGACGCAGAAATGAAACGGGAGAACATTTTGTTCTGTATCACCATTTCATATAAACTTGTAGTTTCATTATATGCATTATGATAATGTACCAAACAAGTCAAACCACAAATGTTAGGAAAAATCAAGAAATAGATACGTTTCCTGTAAGATCCCAATGGCTGAAATGTGTGACTATAAATATTTGAGAAAATGTCCCAACATTGAGGTTGATACAATTACCCATAATACCCATTTTCCGCATAGTTTAGCAAAGATGTTCTTGTTATCTTTCCGCAGCTGTTTAGAGAATATTGTACACAATTCTAGAATCCCCAAAGAAGTGTCCTTGTGTAAATATTTCCTATGCATTCCCAATCATTTGGAGGAGGTTTCCCTTCTTCAGCATGACACGGTTTAAGAGTCCCAGAGCACGACTCAGCAGTTTTCCTTCTGTCTGTCCCCCAGATGGACGATGACTCCATGGCCTCCATGTTGGCCGATTTCGTCGCCTGTCCGCCTGACGACGAAGACGGAGCCTCCGGATCCAACCGCTCTTAGATATTTGCCAACCTGAACTGCTGGGATTGAAGTAACCATGGATACCTGCTGGGATGTTCAATCATCAGTGACATTTCAAAGGTTTAGTGCCTCTGAAGAATGACTTAAAGCTGTCATGATTACAGTCTTCACTTCAACAGTTTTTTTCTTTCTTTTAACAATATTGCCAACTTAAACAAACCCTGGAATTTGTACTCTTACATCATCCGTCTGAGAATCTGTAGAACTAGTTTTACAAGAATGAAGCATTACAGTGTCAACAGTCCGGAGTTCAGCTGCAGATTGTTCAGAACAGCCCTGTGTTTGTATACAGTATATAGTATCCTGCAGCTAGTGTGTGAAGTGGTTTTCTTGGATCTATATGTATGTTTTGTGCTCTTTGTGTTTTGCCATCACTGTCAAATGCTTTGTTATAAAAAGTAAAATAAATCAAACGTGAGTAACATACACTTCATTTGTTTCTCTCGCATTTAATCGCTTTTCGCTACAATAATTCAGTTTTTTCACCCAATTTACACACAAGTTTATTTTCCAACCTTATTTACTCAAGACTGGAGTTGCAATTCCTGAAGAAATTGCGCTGTGAATGATGTTTGCTGAATTTGATACAAACAGTTGGATGAATTATGGTTCATATTTCTGGAATTATGAAAGTCAATAATAACCGTCAATTCCTAAAACTGAATTTCTGCGATGAAGAATGTGGCCTCCCTTTAGTTGATGTTTAGTGTGAATCAACGGCACAAACAAACCCCCTACCCTTTCTCCTTAAAAGGAGCGTTTGCAGAGGTGATGTATGAGCTACTTATCCAGAGTCAGCCTGTAACATACAGACGATGGCGGTCTGGGTGCATCAGCAAAGGTATTTTAGCCACCATGAATAAACAGTTTGAAAAACAGCTGAAGTGACGTCATGTGTTTCTGAAGGGTCTGAGTCCCATTGAGAAAAACATTCCTCTCACTCAGCAGAACATGGAGGGGATGGTCTGCCTTCACCTCGCACGGTAAGTTATTTTATGACTTTGGTGTTTTATTCTCACAGGTCAAGTAACTTTTTTCAAGATGGATATAAAAATATATATATATAACACAAATGTAATTTCTGTGAAAATGAATATACAGATTAAGTTGTGATAATAAGACAATGGCCACAGCTGATTAACTCAAATGTGTAGAATGTGTGGTTCCAGTACAAACGTTTTGTGTGTACCCAGTGGTGGAAGAAGTACTTGGATTCATACTTACAAATACATAAGACTTCAAATACTCTCTTCCAAGTAAAGTCCTGAATTCATGATGTTAAGTAAAAGTACAGAAGTATTATCAGTGACATTAACTTAAAGTATCGAAAGTAGAAGTTCTCAGAATACATAATGGCTGGTTTTACAGTATAATATTGTTAGATAATATTATATTATCTTGTTTGAATACATGTAGGACCATTTGAACATTTGAGTTTTCAATGTGGGGCCTTTGTAAAATACTGGGTATATGTGTAGATCAGTACTGCATCTTATCATGTATCAATGAGTGTTCAATAAATGTAGTAGAGTAAAAAGTACAATATTTACCTGTAATGGAGTAGAATAATAAAGTAACATAAAAACAATTACTCTAGCAGTGGTGTAAAGTAACTAAGTAGAATTACTCAAGTACTGTACTGTACAATTTTGAGTTACTTTGCTTGAGTATTATGTTATGCTACTTTGTACTTCTATAATACTGCAATTAACAGGGAAATTGTGTACTTTTACTCCACAACCTATACATTTGAGTTACTTTACAGATGTGGATGAATGATGTGAAATAAAATCAAGTGTTAAATCAGACTTTAGTTCCACCTGGAGTAAATTCACAAGCTACCCTGCAGTATACAAAGTCATTCAAACTAGCTGCACCTTTACCAGCTTTGATAACACTTTCATGATCAATCATTATAAAACATATCATATATATTTTTCTGGAAAGGACCAATCTGCACAATGAATACTTTTACTGTCGCTACTTTAACTATATTTTGATAATACTTTTGTACTTTTACTTGAGTAACATTATGAATGCAGGACTTTTACTTGTAACAGAGTATTCCTTCACTCTGGTACTTCTACAATATCTGAGTACTTCTCCCACCTCTGTACTCAAGTAAAGTACAAGTGTGTCAAAATAGAACTTAGGTAGTACTTGAGTACATTTACCTGGTTACTTTTCTCCACTGTCTCTACCATATAGAGTAGTTCATATTCATATCCTTCTCTGTCCACCTCTCTCCTCTGTCACTGTCCTCCCCCCTCTCTCTCTCTTCCTCTGTCCCATCATCTCTGTCTCCCTCACAGCAGGCTTGCTTCACCCTCCAGTTCCGTGGTTGTCGGACCTGGTGCGTGCCGACAGAACTAGCAGGGAAAAGAGAATTCCCCGGTCTGAAACTTGGATGGTGGCAGAACATCTCTGCGTGTGTGTCTGAAATCTCTCTCTGGTCGTCTGCACACCCTGAAGCTCCACCAAGCCCAGACGGAGCTGTTCCTCTTCAGGGTAAGGCCTCTTCTGTCCATCAACCCCCTATAGTCTGTTTGCCAGCTCATAGAGTTCTATTGTGAACCTGGAAATATTGAGTACCCCAACGTTTTATGTTAGAAATCTATAGTAAGACAGTTCAGCTCCAACGCAAGTTTCCTGCTCTGATCATCTTTTAAAACTTGTCACAGGACGCATGTGTTCTAATTATTGAACGGTTTGACTTATGAAGACTTATATGTTCTTCTCCCCTTTTGGAGCATAGACATATTATTTAAGTTGGTATACTTGCCTTTGTTATCTCCATATTAAAATGTTCAACTCAGTGTGTATTCGCCTGTAAATTCAAATGAACGTGTTCTGCATTGTTAGAATAATATTGGTAGATATCCCACAACTTTTAACTGAGTTGAAGTATTCAAAAAAGATTAGCTATCTTCCCAATACAAAATATCCAGAGTCCACCCACAAGTCATCAACATCTGCAGGATGACCTTTTCCTTTGCTGCCAACATCATTGCTATTATATAGACTCATTGTAGACCCACTTTAAAGGTCACCTATTATGCAAAATCCACTTTTTCATGTCTTTTATTCACAAACATGTGTCCCCTCTGTGGAAAGAGACTGTGGGTGCGTCTCACACTCATTTCCTCGCTCGGTCTCGGTATCACCGGAAGTTGATTTGTCTGCGCCATCTTGAGTACCGTCCCAGTGGCCTTATTTTTGCCGGAGGACCAAGGATCGAGGATCGAGGAGTGATAACGGAGGAGCGATAATCGAGGAACTACCAGACCATCCTCCAAATCCTCAGGCACTCGCCCCGCCCCCTTACTGTGTATCGCTCACTGATTGGACGATGCAGCGCATGCACTGATCTGGCTGCTGTCAGACGATCAGCTGTGCGGCGTCATCACAAACGGACTTCGCTTCACGTGACGCTCCGGAGGAAAGGACGTCCCATTGCTCTTAAAACTAATTTCCCTGCTTCTCGTGGTTTCCTTGCGTCTCTCCATGCTTCCCTGGTGGGAGGGACTAAACACAAGGAAACGACGCAAGTGAGGGACGCAAGGAATCCATTTAACCGAAGTGAGATGCAGCTTCTGAAAGTTTCAGACCTGTCGGAAAATTAGCTGATCAGATTTTGGCCACTTTTGCCCCTTTCACACCAACGCGTTTTCAGCGCCGGCTCGGAGCTAGAGCCTGAAAAGTACCGGTTTTTCCTGTTCACACCGCAGCGGCGCCGCCTCTTAGCTCCGGAATCCGGTTCACTTCCAGCTCCAAAAAATGTTCGGTCTAGAAGCAAGAGCTTCGGAGCTAAGAGGCGGGGCCGCTTACGTCTCTCTTACGTCGAGGCGGAGGCGGAGGCGGGGGCGGGGGCATGGGCGGGATCAACCTCCTGAACAACAACAAAATGCCTGCGTTTTATCCAGTTTGTACACAACGATGGAAAACCTCAAACTTAATAAGCAGCAGTGGTCCACTGAAGAGACCAGCTACCTAGTGGCAATCTGGTCTTCCGAAGAGGTACAGAGGAAGCTGGAGGGGAGCACGCGGTCCAAAGCTATTCTGCAACAATTGCAGCGAGAGATGGCAACCGCTGGTTATGACCGTAGCATCGAACAGATTTGCAACAAATTGAAGCTCGGACGGAGTGGCAGCGGTCGTCCGAAAACAAGTCCACATTTTTACAGACCGAGGAGTGGTTTGGGATCCACGGTGAATTCGCTTTCTCTCTCGTCAATTGGGTTGGAGGACGAGTCATTTAATGCTGGTGAGTTATGCATTACTGATTTGTGTTATTTGTGACTTTTTGTTTTACAACATAAACTAAACCATGTAGCTATCGACAGACCTGGCAATAATAGCTAAAGTTTACCTACTACAGCTACCGGGTGGGCACCCATGCGCTAGCATGCTAATGCTAACAATAATAAACAAAGGTATCCCCATGGCAAAGACAGCGAACGCCTCCAATGTATCTTCTTTCTTCTCACTAACGATGTATGATTTGTTGAAGGGCTACTTTTGTTCATTGTGTTTATATTGTGTTTACAGGCATATCTCGTTTGGAGTGTACTGTGTCGGAACCACCACTACCGTCGGCGTGTAGCTCGCCCGTGCACATGCTTGGGTCTCCTCTTGCCACAAGCAGCTCTTCCCAGGAATCTCTGGTGACCCTAACCCAGCCAGTGGGCCGACACAAACAGGGTAAGGTTTACAGTGGTCATAATGGTAATACTGTTGCCATTTATCATGGCATTGTCATTGTAGTAGTTGTTCAAGTTATGCAACTGCAGCCATAATAACAATAAAACATTTCATTACACAGTATATCATTTACACCTCATAGAATGTCATGAATACGGTGTTGACTTTATTATTATTTTTCCCTTTGTAGTTAAAAGGAAGCGGGATTCATCATCTCGCCTTGTCTTGTTAATGGAGAAGAGTGACGCCAGGGAGGAAGAGCGACTGGAGCTGAGCCGGGCGATGCTTCAGGGGGTGAAGGAGACCAGTGCTGAGTTCCTACGGGTTTTCAACATAACGGAGCAGAGCAGAATCGAGCAGAACAGAATCAACAGAATCGAGGAGACCAAGCAGACCGAGCATAAAAGCCGCATCCTTGGCTTGTTAGACAGGATGGTGAAGGTGATGGAGACCAACAGCAAACAATGACCTTATTTTTGTATCTAAATTGTTCATGCCTTTTTGTATACATTCTTTTTTAAATACACTTAATTATAGTATATACAGTATGTTCTCCACACTTTTTTGTGAATACTTTGTATACATTCTTTTTTAAATACACTTTATTATAGTATATACAGTATGTTCTCCACACTTTTTTGTGAATACTTTGTTGTATACATTCTTTTTGAAATACACTTTTTACAGTATATACAGTATGTTCTCCACACTTTTTTGTGAATACTTTGTTGTATACATTCTTTTTGAAATACACTTTATTATGTTATATACAGTACGAATATTGTTCATACTTGTCTGTACAGACATTCTTTGATTTGTATGTAAAATAAACATAAGTCAAAAGTCATGTCTTATAACATTTTATTTTTTCAGTGATCCACTGCAAACTAGCTAATGTTACTATGATAAAACACTGAACTAAAACAGTGGTAGATGATAAGTATTATACTTGCTAAACAGCAGCATGTTATCATTGTGTTGCCACACTATAGCGTTATTTAACTTAAACACTGATGAACTACTCGTATGCTAAGTCTGATTCTGCCATGCATTCTTTAAACAAAATGATGCTAAATGAAATCGTTACCTGTGTTATCGAAAATAAATGTGTCATTGTCAAGCTGGAGCAAGGCACACCATTTATTTTATTCCTATTTATCTTTAGAAAGAAGTTAGGATATAAAATACTGACATAAATCTAAGTGAAGGAAAAAAACTCAAATGTACTGTGCCCTTACCCAGCACAAATGTAATGACATAAAGCTGAGGTTAGCACTAAATTGTTCATAACACATCCAAAGAGAGAGCGACCAATCCCTGATGAAGGTTGAGCACAGCTGCATCGCACACACAGCACAGCAGCTCAGGTGACTGCACACACTAACACACATTTTATTTTTATTTTGATAAGCTTTGGGTATTGCAATTTCACACGTTTACAAAAGTAGCTTAATTCAACCGATGAGTGCTATGTGAATAAATGTAGCTCTCAGATGAAGAGAGGTTGGAGACCCCTGGTCTAACCTTTTGGGTATGCACTATTTTTATAATAATATTGTTCATACTTGTCTGTACAGACATTCTTTGATTTGTATGTAAAATAAACATAAGTCAAAAGTCATGTCTTATAACATTTTATTTTTCTCTTGGACATTTATGTGAATTTTCAGTGATGTACTTACTGTATGTGGGCCATAATAATATGTGAGAAATTGTCATTTTCTTGGACCTTGATGTGAAGTTAAGATTTGTGATAAGCTTTGGGTATTGCAATTTCACACGTTTACAAAAGTAGCTTAATTCAACCGATGAGTGCTATGTGAATAAATGTAGCTCTCAGATGAAGAAAGGTTGGAGACCCCTGGTCTAAACCTTTTGGGTATGCACTATTTTTATAAGAATATTGTTCATACCTGTTTATCTACATTCTGTGATTTGTATACAAAATAAAACACAATTCAAGTCTGATCCAGTGATTTTATTGTAAGAGGCATGATACAAAATAGATCAGGTTTAACTGCAGTAATATTAGTGGTCCCCCATGTTGAAATAGTCCATCAATGCAGATCTAACGTCAGCCCCTTCTTGTCTACCGTTCTCTGGAAAGGGGTGTACACAACTTCATGGCAATATTCAGTGAAGTCGCTATGTTCCTCACATATGTTGTGTAGTACACAGCAAGTCACTGTCATTATTTTGGTGAGCTCCAGCTCACTGTCGTTCCTTTTTAGGAGGCACCTCCATCTTCCTTTTAGCCTTCCAAAAGCCATCTCAACAACCGCCCGTGCACTGCTCAGCCTGTGATTGTAGGTGTGCTGTTCAGGGGTCAGTCTCCCGGTGTCCGAAAATGGTTTCATTAGCCATCTTTGCATTGGATAGGCTGGGTCACCAATCAGGTAATGTCCCACATCACAGCCAGAGATGGCCATTTTGTTTTGGCCTAGCAACACTCCATCACTGATAGCCACCCAAAGATTGGATTGTTTTAGCACTCTAGCATCATGTACACTACCTGGGTCACCAACACACACATCCCAGAACATCCCCCTGCCATCAACAACAGCCTGTAGAACAACAGAATGCCATCCTTTTCTGTTATAATAGTCCTTGGGATAATTTTCTGGTGCTAAAATAGGGATGTGGCTTCCATCTATTGCACCAACACACTGTGGTGCTCTCCAACGGTTGTTGAAAAAAGTGGCCATTTCCACCAACTTCTCCACATCAGGGAATTTGATATGTAGTGGAAGCAGAACTTCCATGGTTGCCCTGCAGAAATCCTGAACACAGACGCAAACGGTGCATAGGCCTACCCAGAAAAGATGACCGATGGTCCTGTATTCTCCGCCGGTGGTCAGCTTCCAGAGGGCAATTGCAACCCGTTTTTTATTGGGTATACACAGACGGTAATTTGTGTTTCTTCTCCCCAAAATGCAGCTGAGCTGGTTGCAGATGTACTCAAAGGACTCCCTGGACACGCGGAAATTCTGCATGAATTGCTGAGGGGAGAAGTCTGAAGCAATGGTGTCCCACCAATCGGAAGATCTGGGCTGTGTCCAAATAACACGCGACCTCCGCCATTTCAACATGATCTGTGGAAATAACATTGAGAATCCGTTTTAATGTTATACCATAGTAATTAATGCTGCAAAGCTGGGTATTTTGAGCTTTGCGCATGCAAAGGCTAACAACAGCTAGCTCTAACGCCATCGAATAGGACGTATATTTACCTTCTTTTTCCTACGGAATCGTCGTTGAAGTAGATGCTGAAGACCACAAAGAAGTCTTGCATTTCGCATGTGATGTTTGTAAAGTTCCAAGTAAAGTCGTCCCTTGTAAAGTCGTCCCATGCCTTCCATTTCGTTTCGTAAGAGGATAACCAAAGCGAACAGCGCTTCAATACAATCGGCCATTGTTGTTGTTGTCGATGTGAGGGATTTCCGCGCGGTTTGACTTTTATGAAGCAGGCACGTAAACGGTTACGTCATGACGCAAACGATGAGGCAATGACGCAGTACCATCCCGGCTCTTGAGTGGTGTGAATAGAGCGGGAGCAGAAAAGGGAAACCGGAGCTGAACCAGAAAAGCTCTAGCTCGGAGCTAGAAAGGGAAAAGCGCTGGTGTGAAAGCCGCATTAGTGGGGTTGAGGAACCATTAGCCAATGTATTAGCCAGGGTAACCCCCGCCCGAGCACCATTGTGTTTTTTTTAACCAATCACTTCTCAGAGGGGCGTGGCCAGCAGCAGCTCATTAGCATTTAATACAGACACAGAATCAGCACTTTTGGAACAGGGCTGAAAGGGGATTATGGGATGCTGCAATGATCTGTTTGGTGTTTCCAGCCAAACACTTCAGAGACATGTTTTGTATTTATCTGAGACCTATAATATATTGTTGAAAAGAATATAATAGGGGACCTTTAAGACATTTGATGGTGTTTTTCCTGTGTCACACATGTTATTAATCAGGGACAAAGGGAACACTGAGTGGAGCCAAATATTACATCAGTGTACTGAAGCATATTCGACAGCTGGGACTTTAATTAAATATATTTTGTCAACAAATTACACATAACTGTTTTAGGCTTGTTGAAAGCAATTTGACAAGCCTTATACAGTTATGTGAAATTTGTTGAAAAAATACATTTTAGTAAGTCCACGTTACTATTAGCATAATAGGAGACCTTTAAGATAAACACGTTACACACACACACATCATACGAGTGCACGATCTACACACAAACCATTGAAAACCTGTAATTATTGCGACTAAATTGTAAAGAAAGAGTGCAGGACATTCCAGATGAGCTAAGATATCAGGAGGGACTCAAGCTTTGAGTGTACTTTTCTTTTTGTCCGTTCTGGCCACACTTTGGGAATGTCATATACATGCTTTCCAGCTGGAATAACAGGGGTTGCAAATCATGGCTGCTACAAGGTCTGTTCTGACACATAGAGCGACCATCTGTCAAGTCACTCTCCTGGATACACACGCAGTTATCGTCACATATTTGAGTTCAAAAAAGAAAAGTATGTGAGAGGAGGGGATGAAGTTCTCAGTAGGTTTTAAAAACAGAGGCAGGAAAATGCATCCACATTCTTTGTTTCTAGAGATCTATGGAACATATGGTCTAAGCACATCTGATGTCAGCACAGAGTCCATTTTGGGTTCAATTCATGTTTTATTTAATAAAGCCGTTGTAGCAGGCTGATTTTGACTTGAAACACAAGAAGGTTCATTAGATACCGATACAGATCCATTATAATATGACCAATTCTGCTCCAATGCTCGGGAGGTGAAAAATACTTATAATTGTAGTTAATACAAAAGGGCACAGACCTGTTCGGGTCAAACCACTTGCAGTTCAACGGTTCGAGTCATGCTTTGTCTAATCTATGATCAGGGTAGTTAAACTTGTCAGGTGTGTTGTCTACTCCTGGCATGCAAGGACAAGTGATGATCTGGTAAACATTCCAAGAGAGAAAACATACAAAATGCCATTTTTTCAGTAACAATGCAGGAAGTAGCAATCAGTTTACAGATGAGCGTGGTGTATGGTTGTATCAGGCTAAACTAACCTGTAGCTGCTCCGTCCACACTCACAACAACGTCATACAGACATAAATAAAGCAGCGACTGTATTCGCCATGACATAGACAGTCTGTGGTTTGTACATGTTTAACTTTTGTCCAGTTTCTGAACAGATATGAGGAGCTCTGAGTGCTAACAGCTAACGGCTGATGTGTTGGGACATGTTGCGCTGTCGGGTGCTGACCAATCACGAAGCGTCATTTCTTGACTGGCAGCAAAAACAACCAATCACAGCAGTGTAGTGTTTTGTGAAATGCTGCAGCCTTTTCTGAAATGCTGTAGCGTTTTCTGAAATGCTGCGGCGTTTTCTGAAATGCTGCGGCGTTTTGTGAAATGCTGTTGTGTTTTGTGAAATGCTGTGGTGTCTTGCACTTCAGGGCCACCGTATACAGCACAGGCAGTATGAGAAAAATAAAGAGCCTTTTGAACATTAAAGAGAGACATGGAGACATGTCACATTAAAGATACTTAGACATTAGATACTGATATGAACCTGAATATGAGCATAACGGGGCCCATTGTGTCTCATATTCAAACATCCAATGCTACTGTTTTCAACCCGTGTGAATGTAAATAATTCCAGGTGTTTTTCAAAAACCATCCTTTTATAAAAAACATTTTTTGGGAACACGAGCAGACCTTCGTGCATTAAGATAGTATTTAGTAATTGCTTGCATTTCCGTTTCTTCGAAGTTTCATATGAGGGAAGACATGGCAACTCTAAATCAGAAAATAATCTACCACCCAAACATGCAAGTCCCTGTCCAAAAGCTGCCTCAAAAGGTTTAACAAACACTAGGAAAAGAGAGTTTTTCTGTCCCCCTCACCGTCAGCATCCATGAGGGTAAATCCTCTTTATGAACCTGACAGAAACATTTCACGCACAATGACTGATGGGAAGAGGAAGCTGGCAGCTGAAATGTATTCACTGTTCAAACATTCACACTGTCAACAGAATGTTTGAAACACTTCCTGAAACACAGCTGGTTCAACTATGATTATGTTGAGTATGAGGTCACGTAACTCAGATTTAGTAAGATAATCAAACTAACCTATATGTCTGTACGAGGTTCAATTAATGTCATATTAAAGGGGCCCCATTCTGCTAAAAACTTGAACCAACAGTAGCATTGGATGTTTGAAAAGATACGAGGCAGAATGGTATTAAAGGGGCCCTGTTATGCTCGTGTTCAGCTTCATTTCAGTATTTAGTGTCTCTACTGGGACATGTCTCCATGTTTAATGTTCAAAAAGCTCTTTATTTTCCTCATACTGCCTGTGCTGCAGCACCTCTTTTCACCCTCTGTCTGAAACCAGAGGGAACACAGGGATTTTAGTCTTTGCAGACCATTTACATGCACTAAAACGTATAAAACAAACTACAAGAAACACCCAACAAACAAATAGGGCCCCTTTAAAACTACTGCTACAATGGTAACAGGAGGTTTAGAGACATGACCGGTCATGTGTCTTCAATTACCAATGAAACTGATAATGAGGAAAGACAGCAAGTGGCTACCTCCTAAGTTAATGTGTTTCTATTCTGTACATTATGTACTTCATGTAATTCAGTTTTTGCAGTTTTGACAGACACTCCGTGCACACTGCTCTGTAATATGAGTGCTATCTGACAGCCCCATCAGGGCAGCCTATAGATATTGAACCAACTTCCCTTTTGCAACTTTCCCCTCTCTCTCTTTCTGCGTGTGTGTTGAAGAGAGCAAGGTGAGACTACACAAAGGAGTGATTGAGCGAGCGAGTCAGTCGCAGGGAGCTGTTAGAGGGAGGGAGCGTTAGGAAAACTTAAAGCTGGCAACAAAACACTGAAGAGAGTCTGCATTTAGAAAAGTCCTGCTGACCAGATAACTGTAACTCATGGATCTTTGAGGACTTAAAAGAAAGAAATTGGATACATAGGCAAAAGAAAAAAAGTAGGGGAAGGGCCAGAATATAAACATTCAAAAGGAAACCAGAGGAAAAGAAGAGGAGGGAACAGACCCTCTGTGAACACAACCCTGAACACAGTGAGTATGTTTGATTGAATTCGGGTTCTAAATACAAGCATAGCCTGGGGTTAGAACTCATATGTGGAATGTACAGTTAAAACTAGACTTAACCTGCCTGTTGTCCTCGGGTCATTGCCACTTCATGGTTCCATACAACTTTCCTACCAAGAATTGTGTTTGGTTTACATTTATAGCATCTTGTGTTATTCTGTGCAGCTATTTAAAATGTTAAATGGTTTCAAACTAAATCCTAACTTTGACATTTTGTGATAGACACATGTTTCTCTAATCTTAACTGTAGTCAAAATAATTCAAAAATATTTGCCTTCTTTTAACAGAATGTGATATTTTTGTGTGAGAATGAGGTCTATTGAGCATAGATCTGTTAAGAAGTTCAGAAAAACGTGTAAAAATGAGTATTCATGCATTTAAACACTTGGGTGTGCTAGAAATGTTCATTTTCCTAACACCTCGGGGTTTGTCAACCATGGGAAAATATTGATATATAATTGAGATGCATGATTGAGCAATGACACTGTGAGAAGTTCTGAAACATGTCCAGTGTGTGTGTGTGTTCTCACCACAGTCTGAACACACACGTTTCATCACTGTCAAGCCACTGCGTTGGCTCAATGCAGGAGATACCTAAGTTTCATCATTTATTTAATCCGATATTTCTTTGTATTTGTGCATGTGATGCTGGTTTTGTTGTCATATCTATGACAGTATAAGTACACTTTAAATCACCTGGCTGCACAAAATGAATGGTTGATTTACTTCTGTCTAGCAGTTCAATGCCGGTAACTGTTTCGCAGAGTTGTTGCGAAATGATGATTTATGAGTGTGAAGGATCTAAGTTGATGAGATTTTGGATTCATTCCAATTTTGTGCAACAAGACTATTAAACATACCTTTTGACTGGACAAAGTGTGCTTCCATCTACTCGTTTTAATGCAAATACAAAGACATGAGTGAAAATGATAGATGACACTAGTCAGAGAAAAATCTAAAAAAGATTGCAATACTTTTTTGCATTGCTTGGTTGAGGTAGAAAATCTGGTGAAAAAAAAAGGGTTAATGAAAACTCAGTTGAAGAAATGATGCCATACATGAAGCATTTGACTTCAACACTGAAGCTCCTACTTTCTTACGTTTATTAAACTGTTTGCTCGGCTTGTATACACTAACTTTATATTCACATCTTTATTATTTATCTCTGTACTCATGAAGTTACTTAATGCTACAGTTCTTAGACAACATCCTGCTTCAGTCCACTTATCTGTTGTTTCATCTGCTCATTTGTGTGAGTGTGGCTTAAGCATTTGCATACTTGATATTCAAATGATTCCCAGGAATAGAGGTAAAACAACCCGTCAATAACATCACAGAATGTTTGCCAGTGTTGTCACCTTTGGACACTCGTATGAGAGCCATGTACAAGTGTATATCTATAGCTTAAAGTGTATAAGCGTTAACTTTGTGAGCAATGTTTAAGAATAGCTTATTCCTAACTCAACATTTCAATGCTGCACTGTTGACATGTTGATACAGAATAATTGAAAAACATATTTTTAGTTTTTTTTTGGGGGGGTTAGGGTTAGTCCACAGAATAATTGATATTGCACTGAAAAACTGAAACGTTGACAAGAAAAACAAAGATTACACATCTAAAAGGAGATGTCGCTAATACACTGAAAAAACTGAAACGATGACTTTAATTAAATGTATTATGTCAACAAATTTCACGTAACTGTATGAGGTTAGTTTAAAGCAATAAGATTAAAGGTAGGGTAGGTAAGAATGGAGAAACCAGCTCGAGTGCGCTAGAATTTGAAAGTACACAACCGGAGAAAATCTGCCCCTTCCTTCAGACTTCCTTACAGAGCCCCTCCTCCAACGGTTCAGTTTTCTCAGTGTAGAACTATAAAATAAATAAAAAACGAAATGAAACAGTATGATAATAAGAATAATAAAGATCAATTCAAAGTGGGGTGTTGCTAATAAAAAGCCAATCTGTTGTGTGTGTGTTCCTATCCACAGATGGAAGTCTACACGGTGAAAGTAGCAACTGGTACATCAGAGTATTCGGGCACCAACAACTACATCTATGTGACCCTGGTGGGGGAGAAAGGAGAGAGTGAACGCACCGTGCTGGACAACCCCGGACTGGACTTCTGCCGAGGAGCGGTGAGTGTCTGCAGACCACCGATCACTGAGTGTGCTGATTAAACTTTTAAACATCGATCGCAGGTATAATTGAACTTTTTGTCTCCTCAACCCCTCCCTCTCCAGGTGGATGAGTACAAGGTGACCAGCCCCTCACCTCTCGGCCCCCTGCTGCTGGTCAGGCTGGAGAAGCAGAGGTACTGGTTGGAGGACAACTGGTTCTGTCGCTACGTCACAGTGGAGCCTCCAGGTAGAGACACAGTGCTGACGTTCCCCTGCTACCGCTGGTTCATCGGAGACACCAAGGTGGAGATAAGGGAGGCCACAGGTAGGACTCACAATCCACTTCTAATGTTCAGCTGTCAAGGAACCGTTGAGCAAAGCTGCCAACTCCGAACTGACAGTTGCTCTTACATTGCAATGGGATTCAGCACATGTCTCTTTATAGCCAGTGACATGCAAATTCTGCTGTGTGGACTGATTATTCCATCATCTGGTTTACAATATATGTCCAACTGATAAACCAGCCATAATATAAACCATTCACTATATACTGTATATATAGTGCAAGCAAACACGTATTACTGATATTCATTTTGGAAAAAGAGTGCAGCAAAGTTTTGTGGTGTCCAATAAACCATGGTTAAGGTTATAGAATGTATAGAAGAAGTGGACATAGTCACATGATGTCACCCATTGATTTTTGGAATACCTTTTAGGAGCCTTAAGTTAAATGTTGTCATTTTTGGAAACAGGACTGACATGACAGGATAGTACAAGTGAATGCTGAACAAGATATTTTGAGGCGACAATAAATGTTGCAGTTTACTCTCATGAATTAATAAACTGTAAAGGGATAATGTTGCAAGATAAAAACCTACGGACAACTCCGTGTTAGCAACTCACCCTAAAGCATACCCTGATTAATCACCTATTTTACTGTAACCATCATTTACAAAATCAAAGTCATGGTGTGTTGAAGAAGACTTCAAATTAATGAAAGAGACCATAAACTTACTGAGAAAATGTTTAAAGGTTCCCTATTATGCAAAATTAACTTTTTGATGTCTTTTATACATAAAGATGTGTCCCCGGTGTGTAGGGGAACTCACAAAGTGTCAGAAAACAAAACCCTCTCCCTTTTCCTCCGTACCCAAATCTCTAAAAACGGGGGAACAACGGAGCTGATCCAGATTTGTGTCCGATATGATGTAATATCGGCAATGTGGGCTGGCTTTACGCCCACGGCCCTATCAGAAACGTTGCTATCAGAAACAATGTCCGACGTGTTTTGGAAGTAATATGGTCTTTGTTTACATTAGCATCGCTAACACTCAGAGCTAACGCAGTACTGGAGAGAGTATGTGTAAAAAAGCACAAAAAAAGAACTCACCTTGTGGTAAACCCGCAAGAGAAAAAGCATTTGAGCTCCATACTGTTTCAGAAATAATGCTTGATGTGGTTTGGAACATGATATGACATTTAATCACGGCAGCATTTAGCTGAATATCTGGGTAGAATTCTCCTGCATGAGCCCTCGTCTCTTTTACTACTGACCAAGAAACAGCACTTTAGTAACAGGCTGAAATAGAGGGGTATGAGGCATGGCTAGAATGGGTGATCTGTTTGGTATTTTGAGCAAAACACTTCATAGACATGTTTTTTATATATCTGAGACCTATAATATATGCCTAAAAATAGTATAATAGGAGACCTTTAATGAGGAAATAAATCAAGAGCAGATTAAGGTAATTTTCGTATAGACTTCTATACAATAGGACTTCGTTTTGCACCCGTAGAAACAAACCCTGCTGGCTATAAGAAAGAATGACAGTTAAGGCTCAAAGGTTAAGGAATGGCTAACCTTATGACACACTGGGTTGTGAATTGAGGGTTACAGCTAAAAGCAACAGCTAAAAAAAGGTTGCAGTAAGTAAGCTTTCCCTTCCAGAACGACATGGATGGCGCCTGTGTGGGGGGAGAGAGGAGGGTTATAAATAAGCTTTGTATTTATTGTGGATGACTGCACTGGTCAGTAGAGGGGGTTTGCCACTTGAAAACTGAATGCAGCATTCCACAATCAATATGACTCGGATATGAAGTTGTACCTGCTTTTTGAAGGCACTTCTTCTCTTCAACTGGAATATTCAATAATAATAATAATAGCTTAGATTTATACAGCGCCTTGCATGGGACCCAAGGTCGCTTTTCAGAGAAAAACAGGAATAAAAACAAACAAAAACAAAAGGCAGTCAGACAAACAGTCAGACAGACAAAACAACAGATCGATTAGGGGCCAAAGGCCTTGGCAAACAGATGGGACTTGAGGGCCCTTTTGAAGGCGTCAAGCGTGGGGATGTTGCAGATCTCCGCAGGGAGAGCGTTCCAGAGGGTGGGGGCTGCCACACTGAAGGCTCTGTCCCCGAAGGTTCGCAGGTTGCTACGGACGGTGGTGAGCAGGCCAGAGTCTGAAGACCGCAGGTTCCGGGGTGGGGCATGTGGGCGGAGGAGGTCCGATAAGTACTGGGGGGCATGGGCATGGAGGGACTTGTAGGTAAGGAGGAGGACTTTGTAGGATATGCGGGACTTGACCGGCAGCCAGTGGAGGTGGATGAGGGTGGGAGTGGTGTGCTGCCACGGCTTTGTGTGTGTGAGTACCCTAGCAGCACCGTTTTGAACATACTGGAGCCTGTCCAGGGTTTTGTTGGGGACCCCAAACAGGACACCATTGCAGTAGTCCAAGCGGGAGGTGACGAAAGCATGGACTAGGGTTTCTTCAACCGACTCCGAGAGTGACGGTCGGAGTCTGGCAATGTTCTTTAAATGGAAAAAGGCCGATTTGGTGACAGACTTGATGTGGGAGTGGAAGGAAAGGGTGGAGTCAAAGATGACACCCACATTCTGGAGCAGCGCCTCGGGTGCCACAACAATGAGCTCTGTTGTCCTGCTGTTGAGCTTGAGGAAGTTGGATGACATCCAGGTTTTTTTATGTCGTTAATTTTTTATTTGTCCGCCAATGGCAACCAACTCATTAGCGAATTTGTATGGAATGATGCGGACCTGTACCAGGAATGAATGCAAAGGCTAGTGTATCAGATATCATCATCACATGCCACATGAATGGTGCCTATGTCTTTACCCCAAAAAGAATAACCTGTGAACTGAATTCATGCTGAACATGCACTTTCATGTTTCCCCCCTCTCCCTAGCGAAGACCCCAATGCAAGATTCCTTACCCCAGCTGCTGGAGCACAGGAGGAAGGAGCTGCAGGAGAGACAGGCCACTTACAGGTCCACAACCTCACAATACACTGTAGCCCTTTACAGACTGTGTGAATCATATTCATATTCATATGATGCACTCTTTCAGATGGGTCACATGGGCTCCGGGGATTCCCAGATGTATCGACGCCAAAACAGAAGCAGATTTACCCCAGGATGAACGCTTCGACAACGAGAAAAGGAGCGACTTTGAACATTCACTGCACTACGCGTAGGTGGTTCACACGTATCTCAGTTTTGTTTATCACACTATCAGACTAGATCTGGTTCTCACCAAGAAAGTCCCTTGATAAGATTTGAGTTCCTACTTCCTCAGAATCAGAAACAGGTTTATTGCCAAACTGGTTTACGAGGAATATGCCTTGGCGTGTTTGTGAATGCATAAACACAGTCAAAGAGTTCATTGTAAGAAAAGGACCAACAAATAAAGCTATTATTTAAAATATATATATTTTAAGAAAACTATATTGCTAGAATATAGCAATATTTACACAAAATATAGATGAAATATTGATATATCTGTACAAAAAAAAGAAGTGAAATATGCGAGGTAGCTTTGAGTGCAGAATTCAGAGGGTCTTTCAGGACTGACAGCATTAGAATGAACGAGATACTGTTTTAATGTGATGCTCTCTTCCTTCGCCTCAGATTGCTCGAGTTGTCTCTGAAGAAGCTGGCCATCAGGTTTGGGAAATCTTGGAATGATTTGGAGGATTTCAAACGAATTTTCTGGAAACTACGAAGTCCCATAGCCGGTAGGTAAATCCACACATCAATCATCATATTAGCAACCCATTTACAATGATTATAAGTGACACACAAAACAGAATGACTGAAAGACTTTCACGAGAAACACAACATGTTGCGACAAGACTTCTTAATAACACAGCAACGAAAGGTGGAAGTTAAATATAATACTCTTTTTTTGCTTTTTATATATGCATACTGTTTCATCATTTAATGAAAAAGATAAAAAGGTTTGTGGAAAGAAAATGAATATCAATAAGATACAGCAGGGACACCAACACTGAAACACATGAGCACATACTACAGTTTAAAAAAGCAAAAATAAAATCTGAGCTGACAGAAAATGCTCCGTTTTAGTTTAATACTCACAGTTAAAAACACACACACTATTCTATGAACATATAGGTTCACCTGCTGAATTAAAAACAGAACAAATGAAGCAAAGAAAGTGAAAACCATGAAGCAGATTCAGGCAGTAGGCGTATAGATTCACACTGAAAGTATTATCCTACAGAACAGTACAGCTTACAGGGAAGAGACAACATCTGATCCTTTACAACAGACACTATATGATCTTTTTAGGTTTTTACTGACACTGTAATCCTGCTACTAATCTCACTTTTTGGGAAATGTAACAGTGATCTGATTTTGTGTTTTTTATGTGACTCTAAGGAAATACAGTTTTTTTTTTTTCATTTCCACAAAGATTCTAGATACCTTCAATAGTTTGAGTTCCTCACAAATGCTCTTTTGTGTGTGTGTGTGTGTGTGTGTGTGTGTGTGTGTGTGTGTGTGTGTGTGTGTGTGTGTGTGTGTGTGTGTGTGTGTGTGTGTGTGTGTGTGTGTGTGTGTGTGTGGTGTGTGTGTGTGTGTGTGTGTGTGTGTGTGTGTGTGTGTGTGTGTGTGTGTGTGTGTGTGTGTGTGTGTGTGTGTGTGTGTGGCCCAGAGTACTGCATGGAGCACTGGAAGGAGGACTGGTTCTTCGGCTACCAGTGTATGAACGGCTCTAACCCCAGGATGATCCGGATGATCCGGAAGCTTCCAGAGAACTTCCCAGTAGTTCCCAACATGGTGCAGAGCTCCATGGCTCCGGGGACCCACCTGGACAAAGAACTCAAGGTGGAGGAGAGAACCATAAAAATGCAACTTCAGTCATTTTTTCAAATCTTATTTTTACTAAAGTAGTGGGGGTTTGAATTCACTACAGTGAACATTTCAACATGACACAAAATGTCACTTCCTCAAAACAAAAAATTGAGTAAAATTGAAAAATCGAAACAGTAATAATTAATTAATTAATTAAAGAACAAAAAGGTTGATGAAAAATGGTTGACACACACAGACACACACACACACATTGTTCTTCTAGGTTTAATTAACATTTTCCATCTGTGTAGGTTCTTCTGTCAGAGTCATTTAGTCTCTGACTTGTTTCTCCCAGGCAGGGAACATCTACCTGTTGGACTACGCCATCATGGACGGGATCCCCACCAACACCATCAGAGGGAGACCCCAGTTCATCGCGGCCCCCCTCTGCCTGCTGTACCTGCACCCAGACAACGGACTCATGCCCATCGCTATACAGGTAGTCATCTTCATCTATTTAGCTATACAGTTCACTTCTCCTGCGTTACGTCCACATTAGTCCTGAAGCATTTTCTTGCACTATTTTATTTATACTTTGCTTCTTCTTTTATTTGTTGCATGCAATGGTTTTTGGAGTTATTGAATATGCTGAGTCCATTTCTGACATTTTCAGGATCAATAATGCTTTTAACCAGAAAATGCCAATATGTGTACTCCCGGTGGGCTGATTTCGATTCATTTGTTTCTGTCGATTTGGAAGATTTAGGGATCATTTGGATTGGACAGATTGCCTATTTATTTGAGAAAATAAATGTCGAAAGTAGAGATAATAATGTTCATCTTGTTCTCTCTATATCTAATTGTTGCAACATGCTATTCAAAATCAGCCCATCGAGAGTACAAATATGGTCACTTTCTGATTAAAACTGCCATTTTAGATTCTAAAAATATCAGAAATGGATTCAGCATACTCAATAACCCCCACAATCAGTCCAAATTGGCCAAGTCATGTTTTTACTATTGTTTACACAGGCTATAAAGCCATTCATTTAAATGAACGCAACTGATGCTAATTGTGCAAATTACCCAACATATGCAAGTTAGCATCCAGCAGCTTCTATGTACTGGGGACCCTACTATACATTTGTATCATATAACTTTGGGGTTCACAGTGCTGGCAACTAGACCAGTAGCTGCTGCGCATGTAACAATAAAGCCTTTGAACTTTGACCTTTGACTGCCTGTTATAGTCTCCCTTGCTTGTACTTAGCTGGAGCAGAATCCGGACCGGGACACCCCCATCTTCCTGCCCAGTGACCCCCCCCTGGCCTGGCTGATGGCTAAGATGTGGGTGCGTCACTCTGAGTTCCAGGTGTTCCAGCTGCTGTCCCACCTGCTGAGGACCCACCTGGTGGTGGAGGTGTTCTGTGTGTCCACCCTGAGGCAGCTGCCCGCCGTGCACCCCGTATACAAGGTACAGTCTGTACGTCTGATCGTGGGGGCCAAACATCTTTCACTGAGGGCCTCTTACAGAAACATATACAAAGGGAGGTATATATATTTCAAACTTGTTTTGCAAATAAGTTATTGGGGTTCTTTCATCAAATACGATTTGTTAAAAACTTTAATTGACTGAATTTATTGAAAATTGGGCTTAAAGGTGGAGTAGGTAATTTTGGAGAAACCAGCTCGAGATCGCTAGAATTTGAAAATACACAGCCGGAAAAAATCTGCCACTTCCTTATAGAGCCCCTCCTCCAACACACACGAACGCGCACATGACCAATGAGGGCACGAGATAAGTTTGTGCACAGATGGAAGGCTGACAGGCAGGTAGGCCATCCAGTTATTTTAGCCGGGCCGGCTAAAATGATTGGTCGTGCTTTTTACAGTACTACAGCTTCCACAGATGACATTTTTTTATGGATTTTTTGTCAAAGCACTTCAGATATTCATTGCTATCGGGATGTTAAGAGCATCCCATGGAATATAACAAAAAGTGTATCTCGAGCCGGTTTCTCAAACTTACCTACCCCACCTTTAAGAAGAACAATATCAGACACGTTTGATGTATTCCATTATACTTAATAATTAAAACTGTAGCTTTCAGTGAGAATATTAAACCATGTCTTTGTACTATTCTGGTTTCAAGGTCACATATTGTGGTCAATGTGAAACTACAAGACTCATTTTCAAATGTTGGCTGGTAATAATTTGAAGTGAAGTACAAGTACCTTAAAAATGGTACTTAATACTGTAATTTTAGAATCCAATATTTTACTTTTAACTCCACTACATTTATTTGACAACTTTCAGTCACTAGTTACTTTTTAGATTTAGATTATTAGTGAATACAAATATAAATAAATTATTAAATAAACGTTGACATATATTTATAGGTAGGTATCCAGCAGCAGTATATAACATTATGAAATGTAACTCTACATTTACCAGTTGAGATAAAAACACATCAATCATCATATTAGCAACCCATTTACAATGATTATAAGTGATTACAAAAGCATAGTTCTTCTTCTACCACTGCTCACGATATACCGGTATTGAAAATAACTGATATTTAAAAAATGGAATATTGATATCATGATTTGCAGATATAAAGCCTTGTGGAGTTAGTGTTTCAGTTCATGTGTTGATCCTTTCATTATCCTTTGTCTTAATATATAATATATTATATATATGATATATATATATGTTATACTTAATATAATACATTCATACAATTCCTTTGGACTAATTCTATCATTTCAACAACACAGTTAGAGTCAGCGCTTTCATTTGCAACAAGATATTCGTAGGTGCTATTTATTACTATTTATTGTCTTCTTCAGAGCCTTCTTCACTTGCCAATGAAACTCAACGGCACATTAAAGGACTTCTAGTGGCTCATAATTCCATTATTTTACTGGCAAGCCTTTAAAGTAAAAAAATAGAGGCAACTGGAAACAATTAATGAATGAAAACATGATTTCTCTTCTCAATATATTTTTTTTCCAGAAGTTACAAGGTGAGACAATACCAACATATTAAGGACAACACATAATAAAACCCACAAAACAAAAACAGACTAAGAAGAGACAAACAAACAAACAAACAAACAAGCAAACAAACAGCAATCGATGTCTGTTACTCACATTGCAGAGGAATTGTACATTAAACTACATTTACAGTGTGACCGTTTTGAGATGAGGTGTTTTCCAGATCTTAACAGCTCAGTTGTGTTTCTGTTATGTACTCTGGTTGTCATGGTGTTCTGATCAGTGTTCTGTTTCTCCTGCAGCTCCTGTCCCCTCACCTGCGCTACACCCTGGAGATCAACTGCAGGGGGCGCACTCAGCTCCTCTCGTCCAACGGCATCTTCAAAAGGGTGTGTCACTCTGAAAAAGAATATGTAACTGGAAGGTTTAACTTCCCCACCTCATAGTTTGATCCATTTTGAAATACTTGTATTGGTTTTTAAAGCTCTTATTGGTCGTGGGCCCAGCTTTTTTTATCAGTTTTGCTTTTAACCCCTCTGGACCCCTCAGGTCTTCTGTTACCGGCAGTTTAATCATACCCAAAGTGAAAACAAAGACCCCCGGTGAGGCCCACCACTGTGGACCAGCCTCCCAGAAGACCTGAGGGCAAGGATTTATTCAGATTGTATCTGATTTTATTCATTTTTATGTATTTTATTTGTATGTATTTTATTTTATTCCTTTTTTATTCAGTCCCTTAGTTGTTTTTAATCACAAAGCTGGTGAATCACTTCTGTGTATGAAAAGTGCTACATAATTACATTTTGATTTGATAATTATATTATGTGTGCATGACATGTGTGTGCATCCGATAATGATGGAGCTAACCATGGTGTGTGTGTGTGTGTGTGTGTGTGTGTGTGTGTGTGTGTGTGTGTGTGTGTGTGTGTGTGTGTGTGTGTGTGTGTGTGTGTGTGTGTGTGTGTGTGTGTGTGTGTGTGTGTGTGTGTGTGTGTGTGTGTGTGTGTGTGTGTGTGTGTGTGTGTGTGTGTGTGTGTGTGTGTGTGTGTGTGTGTGTGTATAGGTTGTGTCCACCGGGGGGGACGGCCTTATGATCCTGGCCCAGAGGGAGTACAAGGTGCTGACGTACCGCTCCCTGCAGCCCCCCCACGACTTCGCTGACAGGGGTGTGTTTCAGCTCCCCAAATACTTCTACAGAGACAACAGTCTGATGCTGTGGGAGGCCATACACAGGTACACAACACACACTCTGTGTATTCACACTGCTGCTGCTCTGCTTTATTCTGCAAACAAGAAGACCCAGGGAACTCAGGATCAACAGAGCAGTTAGAGTGTGCTTGTGTTCACTTCGTATCCACCAAAGGGATATTAAGCCCTAAAATGGGATTCGACCATTGCAGATATGATATTCAAATGTATTAATGGGTAGCAGTGTATCAACCGATATTTAGCAGGTCTTACTTCCACACTTTCATTTTTAACAGAGATCCATTTTATTCCATAATAATATTGTAGGACATGAATGATCATGCTTGTACACATTTAAGAGCTTTATAAAGCCATATCACAATGCTGGGTGTTTTCTTTTACCTTTCAAACATATTTTTTTATATTGAGGTACCTGAGTGGTTATAATGATACAGACTTGTACAGAGCCCCCTGGAGTTCAACAATATAACATATGTATTTTGTGTGTTTGTGCACAGGTTATGCTCATTTTCAGGTTCATATTTATATGTCGTGTCTCCACTGTGACATGTCTCCATGCTTTAATGTTCAGAAAGCTCTTTCTCTTTCTCATCCTGCCTGTGCTGCAGCACCTCTTTTCGCCCTCTGTCTGAAACTTGAAACTGGGATTGTAAAATAATGAAGGAACTGTTAACCTATTCATACATTATTTTTTTTTCTGTGCCTCTTTCTCCAGTTTTGTCTCGGGCATTGTGGGTCTTTATTACCAGTCAGACGAGGACGTGACGGAGGACCAGGAGCTCCAGGCGTGGTTCAGAGACATCACTCAGGAGGGCTTCACAGAGCTGCCCAACTTTGGTCAGTTTAATGTATATCATTATTTTATTACAACCATGGTTCGAGTTATAATCTGAGTTTTATGGGGGTCTTTAAAACTAACCACACACACACACACACACACACACACACACACGCACGCACGCACGCACGCACGCACACGCACACGCACACGCACACAAACACACATCCTCTCGGCTCGCGCAGCACGCTCACAGGCATAGATTGCGCAATAATGTATTGGAGGTGCAGTGCAGGCATATTGTCATTCAAGAGACAATACGATGCGTAGTTCTTTTGGAAAACATCTTTTTCTTTTAGCCTATTTACCTCGTTAACGTACATAATACTCATTACGTTGACACATGCATTATTTGTTGGTAATGTATTAGCGACCCCCACAGATGTATGATTTCACTGCTTTCATAGGAGCTCAGACCCCTCCTTATGGGAGCTCAGCTCCCATTGGCTCCCACATAACTCCAACCCTGATTACAACGTAAAAGCACAAAAACCAGAATACATACAAAACATATATAAACATGAGATCTAATGTGCATCTTAATCCTGGTTATTTCCACCTGTTCAGGTCTGCCCAGCAGGCTGACCCTGGAGGAGCTGAGCACCCTGCTGTCAGTGGTCATCTTCATCGCCACAGCCCAGCACGCTGCCACCAACAACGGACAGGTGCTCACATCACATTCACTCAAGTATTGTTTTGACATATTTGTTCTTGAGTATATTCATTCAATGCTACTTTAAACTTCTACTCCACTACATTCAGAGGCAAATATTGAACCTTTTTTTCCCACTATATTTATTTAACACTCACAGATACAGTTACTTTGTACATATAAAACACATGCTATGCTGATATTGTAATGCAGTACTGTAATACTAATATACTCTGGATTTCAAGTATCTAAATTGCTCCACATTGACCAACTATCATACTAAAATGCTCCTACATGTATACAAACAGGATAATATATTAACCATAATAATATAATAATGTGAAAAGATCCATTCTGCAACAAGTACTTTAACTTTTGATACTTAAAGGGGACCTATCATGCAAAATGCACTTTTGTACGTCTTTTATACATGAATATGTGTCCCCGGTGTTCCAGGGAACTCACCAATGGTGCGTTTCCACTACACGGCCTCGCTCGGCCCCGCTCGGTATGGCTGGGCCTCGTTAGGACTGGCTCACTTTATGGCGCATTTCCATTACAGTTTAGGAACTGGGGTAGTATCTATAGTAACGCAGTGTAGGCGGAGCCGTGACGTGATCTTCAGAGATCCCCAGAAAAACAACACAGCCGTTAGCTGTTAGCACTCAGAGCTCACAGCTCCTCATATATGTTCAGAAACTAGACAAAGTTAAACAAGTACAAACCACAGACTGCCTGTGTCATGGTGAATACAGTCGCTGCTTTATTTATGTCTGTATAGGCCGTTGTTGTGAGTGTGGACGGTCGGAGCATATACTGCGTTAGCTTAGCCAATCTCCATTTAGAAAACAAGCATTTTAAAAGGTTTTTCCCCTGCCGTCTGTCTGCAGACTTGACAAAGCATTAATTCATGGTTTTTACTAACCGGTATCAGTATGTTGTTACTTCGGCATCATTTTGAAACGTGTATTACAATTAAATCACGGTCAAATATGTCCATCTTGTTGTAGTTGTAGCCCCCTTGCCAGCGATGCTCTCTCTAGTTTAGCATACTCAGCCCGACTCAGCCTCGTTGTCTCTGGCCCTAGACCCGCGATTTTATGAGGCCAGGAAAACTGTGAATTAGGACCCGCCGGCGGGTACTAGGCCAAGTGGAAACGCAACCAAAGACGGGCCGCTGACGTCACAGCCCTCTTAAACCGTGCTCCGCGCTGTAGTGGAAACGCGCCACAAGTGTCAGAAAACACAACCCTCTCTATTTTCCTCCATACCCAAATCTCTAAAAAAGGGGCTGCAACGGATCTGATAAAAACTGATCCAGATTTGAACACTGTCCTGACGTCAGGACGGTGGCGCTACGGCTATTGGGCCAGCTCCACCAATCAGGAGGAGACAGCCACGGCCATTGCCGTTCGAAAGCGCTGGAGACGCTGTAGTACATATGCCAGGCCAGTAGATGGTGCTGTTCTCACTGAATCTGCCCTTGCAAAAACAGAGCTAGAAATTGTCAAATTGAGCAAAATGAGGCATGGCTAAAATGCATGATCTGTTTGGTATTTTGAAAAAAAAAAAGTATAAATATGCCTTATATAGGTATGGTCCTACACTATATTATTCAAATATAGCATGATAGGTCCACTTTAAAGTACACTTAGCTGATAATACTTCTGTACGTTATATTCTTCCGAAATGGGTCATTGTGCAGAATAGCCGCGTTCACACCAAGTACTTTCCTGTACTTAGTTCCGGCACTCAGAGCCCCGGCGCTTTTTACCCCAGGGCATTTAGTACAGATCGCGTTCACACCGGAGTACTTTTCCCTGAGGGAAGATTACGCAAATGACGTCACTTCTTCTTCTTCTGCTTTGGCTTTACTGGCAGGCCACAAACCACTTCACGGCGAGTACAGTAGGTGGCGGTATGCACCTTAAAGTTGTTTGCAATCCGCTACAAAACAAGAGAAGAAGAAGAAGAAAAAACTTCCCGCGTATACTGCGACGCCCACCCACTCGCTGTACATTAGGCGTCTGTTGTTTACCTTCCGACCTCAGACATGATGGAGATGGAGTCGACTGAAGTTGTGCTGTTTGTGCTCATGTTATACAGCTTTGTAACTGAGTTAATGCAGCCTGAGCAACTTGCGTACAATAACAAAACAAGCCGAGCACGAGTGGTGGTGGAGAACGCTTTTGGCAGACTGAAGGGCAGGTGGCGGTGCTTGATGAAAAGAAACGACTGCAAGATGGACAAGATCAAAATCCAGGTGGCAGCATGTTGCTTATTACATAACCTTTGTGAAAGTAATGATGAGTACAGGGACGAATGGACTGCCTTACCGGCGACCCAGCTTGATGGGCGAGCGCCAGCCATTGCCGAGGCTGGGGGGCAAGACACACGCACAGCCCTTATGAGGCATCTGAACAGTGTGTAAATTGTACATTGTAAACATTTTGACAATAAAGCTGATCTTTTGTACAGTGCTTTTGTTTCTCTTTTATTTTCCAGTCAAGACAGGCAACATTACAATAGTGTACAGTGTGGCAATATAATAACAATAAACTGTGCCAGGTGTGTTGTATGCACAGTAAATAGGCTCAGCAGCAAACCCACCTTTATTATTTATTATATATCTTCCTGAGACCCACTGCATCCGTCTGCCATAAACACTATGGAAACCTACATGTTAGTTTCGGCCCATAGTGGACTCCATTTTGTGTTGTGTAAAATGGGGGGGGGGGGGGAATTAAAGGTTTGCAAATCCCCATGTCCTCCTCAGAGGACAATCATAAAAACATTTAGTTTTAGGTCAAATAATATTTAAAATGATATAAATTATCATATTTGTGTATGTGCCCCTGCCATTCCTCCACAAGGTTGCAACATTGATGATAAATAAATGACAAATAAAGCTTTGCCAGTTTATAACCGATGAAACATGATGGTATCAGAATAATCACTTACATGTGATGTATAGGATGCTACACAGGTCACTAAAGATAAAGGGTCAGGAGAAATAAGCAAGATACAGGATCTGTTTAACAGTAAATAGAAGTTCACATTTTTAATGTAAATAAAATAGAAGTTGTACATGTAAATTAACATTATCAATATAAAATAAAGTGTCAGTTGTATCAAGACTATATAATAACAGTAATAACAATAATATAAAATGAACTGGTGAGCATCTTGTCCTCCGTTTCCTGGGCCTTGGTGAACAGCACCATCTGATCCCCGTGCATCGACTCTTTCACCACGGCACGCCGGTCCTCCAACGCCTGGACGGTGTCAAAGAAATTCGCATCCCGTGTCCGCTTTTCTAAGAGGGGAAAATAAGCAAGATACAAGATCTGTTTAGTCGCCATGTAGTTTTACAACATACTAGGAATTTTTTTTTTGTATTTTCACAAATAGAATTAAGGTTTCACAAATCTGAAACTGTGTTATAAAGAATCTTTTGACTCTCTGGGATAATCCAGTCCAGATTTGATGAGTCTAGGTATAGTGGTTTTAGATCAGGACCTGGTCTAATGTGGTCTACATGTAAAAAAAAGCACTGAAATCTCCCTTTTTTGTATTTTCACAAATAGAATTAAGGTTTCACAAATCTGAAACTGTGTTATAAAGAATGTTTAGACCCTCTGGGATAATCCAGTCCAGATTTGATGAGTCTAGGTATAGTGGTTTTAGATCAGGACCTGGTCTAATGTGGCCAGGATGCGAAAAAGCACTGAAATCTCTCTTTTTTGTATTTTCACAAATAGAATTAAAGGTTTCACAAATCTGAAACTGTGTTATAAAGAATGTTTAGCCTCTCTGGGATAATCCAGTCCAAATAAATCGGCTATGCAGCGATTTAAGAGGTTCAAACACGGAGGATTGTTCCTTTTTGAAGAGTGCTTCATGTATGCTTGAACTTTGTTTAATGTTGTTGAGGCAAGTTTTCTTACCGGAAGTCATGTGACCTCTAGCCCGGATGTTTACAATGTTTGTGAGAGAGTAAAAAGGCGCGAACATTTGTAAATGCCGGTCTAGGCGAATACGTTTTCACGCTGTTTCATAATTGTACCAAGAAGGAAATAAACATGATTGTGAACATCAGTTCGATGCGTAACGTTCTTTCAAGACAAAGTTACAGTGTGTGTACCTTTGCGTTTGGTTGCTGGTAAGGGGGACGACCAAGCGCTGTGATCTAGAATGCAAAGCTCGCTTGTTTCCAATCCCGAGAGTTGTCCATCCTCGCCTGAAACAGACGATTAGTGCCATGAGTTAGTGAAGCAAATTACAGAAACACTGCACAGTTATTCACAAGTCAAAACGTTTTCATAGCGGCCGAGAATATCTAGCGAGCTAGATGTAGCTAGCTCGGGGCCGGTGTTAGCCATTTCAGCCTAGCATGGCTAGCTTGATCTACGGAGCAAATAAAAGTACATCTGAGACCATTATTGTGCAGATTAAAACCCCAGTGCATGTAGTTGATTTTACCTTCGTCGTGGTCGTCATCGTTGGCCACTGAATCCGCTGTTTGTAGTCCTGCCTGAGTTTCTTTATTTGTAGCCGGTATGCCGTGGGGCTGTGCACGATTCCCAGGTCGAGTGAAAGCTACTGAACTGGCTTCAGTAGCATTCCCTGGGTCGCGTCCTCGGCGTAGATCTCCAGAAGCACCTCCTCATCACTCCACCGCTCCGATGATTTCTTGATGCTTGCCATAACTGCTTTAAAAAACAAACTACTCTCCGTCGGTGCGCTGGGTTTTTGTAGCGAGGAAAAACAATGGCGGCTCTACACAACATTTTCACAGTTGTACGGGGCGTGGTTTGCAATTCGCCCAGCCAATCAGCACTGGGGCACTTTTTTCCCACAGGAAAGTACGATCTCTCAGCGGGCACTAAAAATGGGGGTAAAAATTCCCGAGATTAAGTACTCTTTTTGGTGTGAACGCGACATAAGGGGTACTAACGGAACTAAACGCGAAAAGTACGGTGAAAAGTACTCCGGTGTGAACGCGGCTAATGAGAACTTTTTATTCTTTAAGTATATTTTGATGATAATACTTTTGCATGATAGGAGATCTTTAAGTAACATGTTGAGATCAGGACTTTTAATTATAATGGAGTACTTTAAGATAATAGTATTTGTACTTTTACTAAAGTAAACGATCTGAGTACTTCTTCTCACACTGATTATTGCAAAAGTCACTTTTGAGAGGAAATAGTTCTACATCCCACTCAGGGCTCTGACTCCTCCTCTCTCTGATGCTTCTCTAGTTTGATTGGTGCGCCTGGGTCCCGAACACCCCCTGCACCATGAGACACCCCCCCCCAGCAGACAAAGATGCTGTCACCATGGAGATGATCATGGCCACCCTCCCTGATGTCAGCCAGTCCTGTGTGCAGATGGCCATCACATGGCATCTGGGGCGGGCCCAGCCAGACGCAGTGAGTATGTCTGTCAGGTGATCATTCACTTGATGAGGACTCCATTACTTCCTGTCGTGGCGTTTTAGTGCTTTTCTCAAATAAAAAGCCACTGTCCTTTGGGTTCTGACTGGCCTCAATTTGTTTCCAAATGTAACGTTGCATCACATCATATTTATTTAGCAATCCAGGCAGGCGGCATGTACATATTTAAACTTCCTTCATTTAAATGTAACAAAAAGGAGTTCTCTGTGTAATCTCATATATAACAAAAAAGATTGTGGTCAAATATATACTAGATATATTATATTTTGAAATTTTATTTATCAAGCGTTTATCAGGTGCTCAAATAGGGTAACAAAATAAAAATTAATTAAATGTCAAATTAAAATCGAGCAATAAAACAACATTTTTTATTTTATATTCTTTAACTTTTTTTATTTGGTATGCTATTTTATTTCTAAAATATTTTGGACTGTTCATTTATTGTCTCTCTCTCTCTCTCTCTCTCTCTCTCTCTCTCTCTCTCTCTCTCTATCCATCTATCTATCTATCTATCTATCTATCTATCTATCTATCTATCTATCTATCTATCTATCTATCTATCTATCTATCTATCTATCTATCTATCTATCTATCTATCTATCTATCTATCTATCTATCTATCTATCTATCTATCTATCTATCTATCTATCTATCTATCTATCTATCTACCGAGCTAGCTTACACTAATGTTTAATGCAAGTGTTATTTACAAAAAACAATAATTAAATACGTTCAATCTAAACCACTTAGCAAAGGTTCCAACAATAATCATCTTAAAGTAAACTGGCTCTAACACTTCCTCTGTAACTTCCTGTTTCCTCCTGCCTAGATTCCTTTGGGCCAATACGCTGAGGAGCATTTCACTGAGGAGCGGGCCCAGGAGGTCATTGACAGGTTCAGAGCAGAGCTGAAGGAGATCGAGGAGCAGATCCTGGGTCAGAATGAAGGACTGGAGCTCCAGTACCTGTTCCTGCTGCCCAGCCGCGTGGAGAACAGCATCACCATTTAGAGAACATCCAGATAGAGTCAGGGAGTCATTACATTCAATGTTGTAATCAAAAGAAAACACAAGTATGGAGAAATATTTTTGTATGTGCTTCAATATTAAACATTTTATGGAATATGTAGTGTGTTGTAAAGTGGTGGAAGAAGTACTCAGATCTTGTACTTCAGTCAAAGTAGCAATACTACATTTCATGCAATCATTCAAAATCTTACTTAAAGGTAGGGTAGGTAAGTTTGAGAAACCGGCTCGAGATTGCTAGAATTTGAAAATACACAACCGGAAAAAATCTGCCACTTCCTTACAGAGCCCCTCCTCCAACACACACGAACGCGCACATGACCAATGAGGGCACGTGATAAGTTTGTGCACAGATGGAAGGCTGACAGGCAGGTAGGCCATCCAGTTATTTTAGCCGGGCCGGCTAAAATGATTGGTCGTGCTTTTTACAGTACTACAGCTTCCACAGATGACATTTTTTTATGGATTTTTTGTCAAAGCACTTAAGATATTCATTGCTATCGGGATGTTAAGAGCATTCCATGGAATATAACAAAAAGTGTATCTCGAGCCGGTTTCTCAAACTTACCTACCCTACCTTTAAGTAAAAGTAAAAAAGTTTGCCATTAAAAATATACTTAAAGTGACAAAAGTAAAAGTAGCCTACTCGTTATGCTTCACTCCGAAGTGAATCCATTTCAGGATTCACTTAGGAGTACACATCACAATTGGAAAAGTTTGAGCTAATTTGAATTACTTTGTAAGCTGATCTGGATATTTTAGCCTTAAATTAAATGCTAATGTTAATTTTTACTTATTAGATTTATAATTGGTTTTATCTCATAATCTGAATCTATAAAGTAACTAGTAACTAAAGCTGCCAAAGTATTGAGTAGCATACATTTAAAAGACTCAGGTAAAGTACAAGTACCTCAAATGTGTACAGGACTTGAGTAAATCTCCTTTATTAAATTCCACCACTGGTGTTGTACAAAGTGTACAATGTGTTAAGTTGTAGCAGGAGACGTATTTTGTCATGAAACCAATATTTTTCTACATGGATATTTATCACTATTATACATTTGAAAAGATATAATTACAGATGTTAACGTGTAAAGAAAATAATATGGATAGTCAACTAACTGTGGATATGATGTACTGTTGAAATGTAAGGACATATACAAGTATAAGTGAAGGACAAGGATTAAGGCAGATTTAGTATGTCTGTCGAGAAATTAAAGAAAAAAACAACATATGTTGTTTTTTTATATATTCTGACATACTATACTGTGCTGTTTTTTAAAATACTACAACCTATGTGGTTTTTTTATTTTATATTTTCGACATACTATGTCGTTATTTAAATATCTATGCCGCTTTTTTGGTATATTTGACATACTATGTCGTTATTACATTTTTTGGACATACTATGTTGGTTTTAAAAATATTATAATTTCAACATATTATACTATGCTGTTTAAAAAGATACTTTCGACATACTATACTATGTCGTTTTTTAAATATTTTCGACATAGTATCGTGTCCTTTTTTAAAATAATTAACATGCTATACTATGCTGATTTTAAAATACTTTCGACATACTATATACTATGTTGTTTTTTACATTTTCAACATACTAAAATATATATTTTCTCGACAATATTCTATTTTTATTTGTGTGTTGTGCAATGTGTGCAAGTTGGAATCTTGGTATCATTACATATACCCATGAATATGTATGTTGCACTTCATTACAACACTTAAATAACTTTAATTACAGATGTTGATGATGTCTTAAAAAGTTGAACGTTCCAGTTGACCGTTTATTGAAATAAAGGACATATAAACGTGTAAATAAAAAGCTTTCCAGGATTCATGTGAATAAAGCGAACATATATATACATTTAATGCGACCTTGGCCATAAATAGAGACAGGATAGGCCCTGAGGCACTGTAAGCAGGAAAGAAATGTGATCAAACATTCCACACACAGCTGGATACTGGCAATTTGAAATACATGAACTTGTACAGTACAGTTTGAAAGAGCAAATCAGGACAATATCATTTACAACCCTTACATGTAGTTAACTCTGGAGAACAGCAGTGGGTATCTTCATGGCACAAACAAATCATGTTGTGATCAGAGGTAGAATCAATCTCATTTGAAATACAGAAAGGTGCACGACATTGATCTGCGCACAGCGCCTCCCCAGTAGATCATCTTCAGGAGTTTAGATCCTGAGACGAAGACATCATCAGAGAACTTCTCGGCCAATCAGGAGGCACTAGTGCACCAGGTACTCCTAAGGAACAGAAAACACATTCAAACTTTATTTTGAATCAATTATTTATCAGTTATATCATTAAATATAAAACTGGTTAAGGACATATTTAATAAATAATCAGTACTCAAATGATTGCCTTAAGTAAAAGTAGCAATAATACAGTGTAACAATATTCAGTTACAAGTAAAAGTCCTGCATTCAAAAGTAAAACGACTCATTATGCAGAATGCACGATTTAAGCACCATATATTTAAAATATTGTATTATAATTATTGATGCATTAATGTGTTCATTACTTCAGTGCTGCACTTGGTTTGTATGAATGACTTGATATAGTACGGGGAAGATGTACTAAATGATAATGAATGATTTGATACTTTCACACATGCTCTATAGCTGATCAAACTGTGTCTTTTAAAGCTTCAACATCATGGATCATCATCTTGAACTTCCTGGATTGTATTTTAAACAGGCAGTGTTTCATTCTGGGTTCATGAGAATTGTAGTCCATAGTTCAGGAGGTTGTTACCAGGAGCAGAACTGAGACAAACACACCCAGTGACTAACTCCATAAAGGGGATATGATGCCATTACAAGACATAAAGACAGAGACCAGAAGCTTGATCAAAACACAGATTCCTCATGTTTGAAGATGGTTCTGAACATTTGGGATACTGTAAGTTCACAACTCAATATAATATATCATTCAAAGTTTTGGTCATTCTTTTTTGTAAAGCGTATTCTAGAAAACTATTAAAAACCTAATATCTATCGTTAGCTAAACCCTAACTAATACAAATAAACGAGATGAATTAAGGTTCAAAGAAAAATGGAAGGAGGAATTAGAAATGAATATCATAATAATAATAATAAAACGCACAAGACAACAAATTCACTTTTTGGCAGGAATATTCTTGGAAGATAAAACTGCACAACTGGGGATAACGGATGGAGAAAATGGATTGAATATTGCAAAAACTAAAATACAAATGTAATGCTCTTTTTATTTTGAATTGATTCATATTATTATTTGGGCTAAAGCACAGAGCATCCTTTCCCCAGTGCATGCTGGTTGTTTTTAGTTATGCTGAGCTGCTAAACATAAGGCTGCGCATGTTAATATGTATATGTATACAAGTAAGTGTATATAAATGTATATATGTATATGACAGGGGTATGTAAGTGTGTATGAATGAATGTGGGTCTTTCTCAATGTCGAGTACGCTTGCTTGGTGCCACATGTCTTCCGAGTCACTTGCTTCAGAAGCGAGGTAAGAATACTTCCTGGTATTCGGAAAACTAAGAGTGGAACAGGCGAGCAAGTGTGCAGGTGTGCGTCATATGAGAGGCCCCGCCTTACATCTTCCGCCACAGATTTGGGGAAATTGGTCCGTGCGCAAAGCATTGTGGGGATTTCAAGACCGCGGAGTCTACACATGTGCAGACTCGACATGTCTCGCTACGAAGTACGCCGGGCTCGGTAGAATTCCAAGTATGCTGGACATTGGAACCAATCGGCGGCACTCGATGACATAGTATGCTTGAAATAGTGGCTCTGAAGCAGCTTTACTCGACATTGAGAAACACCCACCGTGTGAAATCTTCCCTGTGTTTTGTTCGACCCATGAGTCATTGCTTTGTCACCAGCTCTAATTTAACTCTAAATATAACTTATAATATGTTACTGCTTAGATTCTTGTTTTTTCCCCTCTTTTTCTTTATTAGTTTTATTTTAGTTTTTTTCTTTGTTGTAACTTACCTATGCTATTTGTAAAAATATGAGTTTATATTCTGAAGTTCTGAACAAAGTGCATCCGTTAATGAAATAAACTAATAAATAAAAAATGTGACATTAAATACCTTCAATTTCTCCACATCAGTTCAAGCGAGTACATCAGAAGAAAGTATGTACATGTATTGTATTGTATACACAATCAGGGCTCTCTTCCCTTGTCCTTTACTCTGGTCTAACCCTTTCAATACATCAAATCAAAACCAATAAAGAATTGACCTTGCGCTTGTTGAGCTTCATCTGGCAGCAGGAGAAGAGTCCGAACAGCACGTAGATACCAGCAGCGATGAAGCAGTTGTAGCCCACCTTGTTGTACAGAGCGTAGATCCTGTGGGGGGGGGTCCGTACTGAGGGGGACAACATCAGAAAAACAACATCGTTAAATCATCAAGGGATACTTCAGAATGTTAGGAGATGTTTGCTTCCTTTTGAACATAATGAGTCTGTATGTGTTCAGTAAAAAGATGGATTTAGCACAAAGACTCAAAGCAAGGGAACACAGTAAGTTGAACACACATACAGATATAAAAAGCTCACTAATGTAAATATGGTATGAAGTCATTAGTGATTAGGGATGTCATATGGAATTCTGAGGCAAAGTAGGATCTAGTGAGGGTTTCTGACGGCTACATTTTTTCTTTGGCACACTCTATTTATTATTTAAAATGTCAATAACGGTCTATAGTGTCTGTGTACTCTGTGGGGGGACGGGGGGACGGGGGGGGACAGTAAAGTCCTTACTCTTTGAAGTCGTCTTCTGTCACAGGAACATCTTCAAACAGCACGGCTGAGTGTGTGCTGAAGAAAATCCCCAGCATGGCCTGAGAAAGAGGGGGGGGGGGGGGGTCAGGCAGGGGTCGAAATGGCTTTTGTTTTGAATATATAAATAAACTTAAAGTTATGACAAAAGTGTGATTAAACAAAACTTAATGTTTCATTTCATCAAAAATAATATGACCAAACTTGTTTTAAAGTGCAACATTTAACAACAAAATACAGTCAGTTTATAACATCAACCTTAAACACAACATTAATTAAAAAAAGAAATATATATATATATATATAAAAAATATATCACAGTATAGTATGTTGAAAAAGCACATTCATACTGTAGTATAGCATGTTGAAAATATAAGAAAAAAGTCAGAATATAGCAAGTTGAAAAAAGGTCATAGCGTGTGTAAATAGAAAAATAAAAAATCATAGGTCTAAAATATCCAGATTTTTTTTTTATAATAAAATATGTCGAACGTTTTAGAAAATGTTTTGTGTGTCGAAAAAGTCATAGTATTTTAAGTTTGAAAACATCAGAGAAAAAGTTATAGTATATTAGTTCAAACATTTCAGAAAAAGGTCAACTTACAGTGTGTTAAAAATATCAGAAAAAAAGTCAAAAAAAAAAGTTTGGAAAAGTTATGCAACTGCACCTGTTCCTATTTAAACTCCATTATTGTTGACTCAACTTCTTGCTGCTTTCAGTGATACTTTGACTAAGTATAGGCAGTGTTGTAAAGTAACTAAGTACATTTGCTGAAGTACTGTACTTAAGTAAAATGTTTTAGGGACTTATTTCCATTTTATGCTACTTTGTACTTCTAACCCACTACAGTTCAGAGGTAAATGGTTTACTTTTACTCCACTACATTTATTTAATACCTTTAGTTTCTTTGCAGATTTGAATGAATGAAATGTGTTTAAGTATATGTTGATGCTAATACTTTTGGATATTTACTTAAGTAACATTTTGAATGCAGGACTTTTACTTGTAACAGTATTACAACAGTATTCCTACACTCTGGTACTTCTACTTTTACTCAGTTACAAGACATGTGTAGGCCTACTTCTTCCACCTATCTAAAACTACTTTAGAGAAGTGTTGACTCAACCCCCTGGTTATTTGGGAAGTTGTAATTTATTGCTGCTTTTCGTGATAATATGCCTTAGATACCTCATATAAGTGGAACTCAAACAGTAACGAGGAAACCTGTCTTCTTTGGGTACTGTTTGAAGAGGGACTGAATGACTGTAGTCTGTTGAACATGAAGGTAAGAAAAGCGAGAATAAAGAAGTTAACAAAGAACACACTCACCAGCATTATAACCCCCCACGCGCTCAACACCATCCCGCACGCGGCTACTTTTGGTCCACAAATTAACCCACGCATGATTAAACTGATGTATTCCAAAAGAAAACTGTCTTGCTGCTGGTCAAACTACTGTCACTGTGTTGGTCATGTGACTCTGACTAAAAACCGGAAGTTTCCAGGTTGTTCAATCCGCTGAGAAAAAAGTTAGATTTAAATGTCACGTCACTTATTTAATTTGATTATGCCGAATGATATGCAATCAATTTGAAGTCATTACCACGTAAATATAACACAAATATGTACATAAAGATACAAAAATCCCATTATTGTCGGCATGAAAACTTTAAATCACGTGACCTTACTAGCGTCACGCATCTGACTTCTTTCAGTGATTCATGCAGTGTCGGTAGAATGGGACAACACTCCGCTAACACTGGTCAAATGCTTTTATTGCGTTATGTATTAGCAATTTCAACAAAGCATAAATAATCTGTGTTTGGCTCCTGTCAAAAGTAAGTATACATATTGGATTTGATTATCTATTTCTCTGGTGAAATAGATGGTGGTTGGCTGCTTCGGCTATGACAAGCCGAGACATAACCATGACGTGACATTATGCTGCGTTCAAGTTCTGTCGGAATTAATAAAAACTTCAGCCCACGCAACAGAACGGAATGATACATTTATTTCTTCATTTGCGCTTACTTAGCACTTTATGTGCTTTTTTTAATTTGTACAGTATTGTAATTGCTGTTTAGTGTTGAAGTTGTAAGTTAAGTTATTTGTGTTGAAGAAACCATTTGGTGCCTTTAGGCTGGTTCTATACATTGTAAAATATATATAATCCCCTGTTTACTTCCAGAAAGTGGCCCTCAAACAGCTAACAAAGGGCTGATTCCCAGTGCTAAACACAGTCCAGTTCTATGTAGTCTACAATATATGTTTCACTTTTGCAAATGAGTGACAACTAGCCAAACATTGTAAAACATAGACCTAACCCAGTTTTAACTTTTTGTAGTGTGCATCATTTAGGCTTCCATTGACATGCACCATACACTGCCTTAGTGATCTGTTGATGCCAAACAACTAGTGATAAATGGAAAAACGTTGGCGTAATAATACATGATTACAGTACATGTTCTGACTTTAGTTGATGAAGACTGCTTTAATGATTAGCCTGCAAGGGAAGTTAGGACATTCAGGGCTGAAAAAGATGCACAATTGTATACACCACAGTAATATGGAGAACAACTCATGTATATATCCCTATTGAATGAAGGAAAACAGAAAAACCCTAAATGTAGATCATATTGTATAGCAGTGTGGTGTAACAGACTAAAATTAGTACATGGCCTACGATTTCTATTTCACCAATATGTGATATATATACTTGACTGGCTACTATCATTTATGAAAACCACCAGATGTCAATGTGCAGAGTTTAATGCACCTGCAAGTTCTATTTATTTACGGCATGAAATCAAAAAGTCTCAAGCCTTCTAAAAACCTGTGGGATAACTAATTCAACTACTTTAACATGTTAACATAAATGTATACTACTTAATGCATAAAGGCTACTTTTCAGTATGGTCATACCTAATGTTTATTTGTGTAATCCTCAAATGTATTACTCAAGTAAAGGTAGAAAAGCATAAGCATCAAAATATACTTAAAGTACTTTTTATACAGAATGATCCATTTCAGAATAATATATATGATATGTCTTGATTATAATATTACGATATTGGTGCATTAAAGTGTTATCAAAGCTGGTAAAAGCTAGTTTTAATGACTTTGTATACTGCAGGGTAGCTTGTGAATTTACTCCAGGTGTAACTAAATGTAAGAGTTGATAATATTTCACAGCATTAATCCAAATCAGTAAAGTAACCAAAGATACTACATAAATGTAGTGGAATCAAAGTCGAATATTTACTTCAAAATTGTAGTTGGGTAGAAGTAGCAGAAAATGGAGACACTCGTGTAACTCAAAATTATAATTGAGAAGAGTACTTGAATACATATACTTTACCCCATTGACGTACATCTCTGAAAGGTAGGGCGAAATAAGGTATTACCGAAAGTGAAGATTACGAGGAGACATTGAATGCGGCTTAAGCATTGTCGTTTTATTGTGTGACCTATTTGTGTGCAGTGTAACCTAACGCTGAAACATTTTAATGCACTATGCAGCACTATGCAGCACTGTGTACAATGTCGGAGTTTTCCAAGCAGTAGCGGTTTAAGAGCAGATTTGTAGCTGCTCTGCTACATCAGGATGAGCACCAAATGCTAACTTGCCTAGCTACACTGATAGCATCTTAGTAGCTGTTCCGTCCAATTGAAGGCATCAGAGTCCTACCATACAGACTACATACAGTCCATGGTACCAAGGAGATCAGCAGAATGACCTCAGCTTCGACTAAAGTAAGTCATTTTCACATATGAACCACTGAGAAGTAGATAGCCCATGCAGTTAGCCCGGTTTAAATAATAGCATGTACTGTACACACAGCCCCTCAGTGTTTCCCGCTGCTGCAGGTACAATAACAGAGTGTGGTCACTTCAGTGTGCAGAGATGGACGTAGGAAAGTTGGAGACTTTTATCAGTTCTATCGGAAACACTTTCAAAATTAATTCTCCCGCTGAATGAAATTAATGTGCCTTTAATTTTTCTAAAGTCTGATCTGTTTTAAAGTTTGTGCTGTCATAATTTCCATAAGGCTTTTTCATACACTATGCACAAAAGCAGCACTGTACAGTATCTGAGTACATTAACATAAGTAGCCTACTGTACGTAAGTACAATTTTGAGGTACTCTACTACTTGAGTATGTCCATGTTTTGCTAGGTAAATCATGTACTTTTACTCCACTACATTTTTTTAATACCTTAAGTTACTTTACAGATTTGGATGAATGATGTGAAATATAATCAAGTCTTAAATCAGACTTTAGTTCCACCTGGAGTAAATTCACAAGTTACCCTGCAGTATACAAAGTCATTCAAACTAGCTGCACCTTTACCAGCTTTGAGAACACTTTAATGATCATCATTATAAAACATATCATATATATTATTCTGAAATGGACCAAGCAATGACTACTTTTACTGTTGGTACTTTTTTTATGCTAATACCTTTGTACTTTTACTTGAGTAATATTTGCAATGCAGGACTTTTACTTCTAACAGAGTATTCCTACACTCTGGTACTTCTACTTTTACTAAAGTACAAGATTTGAGTTTCTTTCACCTCTGCTTCCATACCTTAGTTTAAAGGGGACCTATCATGCAAAATGCACTTTTGTACGTCTTTTATACATGAATATGTGTCCCCGGTGTTCCAGGGAACTCACCAAGTGTCAGAAAACACAACCCTCTCTATTTTCCTCCATACCCAAATCTCTAAAAAAGGGGCTGCAACGGATCTGATAAAAACTGATCCAGATTTGAACACTGTCCTGACGTCAGGACAGTGGCGCTACGGCTATTGGGCCAACTCCACCAATCAGGAGGAGACAGCCACGGCCATTGCCGTTCGAAAGCGCTGGAGACGCTGTAGTACATATGCAAGGCCTGTAGATGGTGCTGTTCTCACAGAATCAGCCCTTGCAAAAACAGAGCTAAAATGTCAAATTGAGCGAAATGAGGCATGGCTAAAATGCATGATCTGTTTGGTATTTTGAAAAGAAAAAAGTATAAATATGCCTTATATAGGTATGGTCCTACACTATATTATTCAAATATAGCATGATAGGTCCACTTTAAGACTCCAATATTACATGTTTTTGTGTAAAAAAGTAAATCCCTGGAGCCAGCCTGCAACATCATCATTATTCATGATGGTACCATGGAAATGTCAAATAAAAGTGATTCTTTTTTTAAAGATGGTGATATGTGTTTTTTTCACATTGCGTCAATCATTCTGATGAATAATTGTGTGTCCCACAGGTTGGGGAGATCTTCTCTGCAGCTGGAGCCGCCTTCACCAAACTAGGAGAGCTCACCATGCAGCTTCACCCGGTGGCAGACTCCAGTCCTGCAGGGTAACACACACTAGACACTGATCGCTTAATTACAAAGAATATGTTAAACTGTTATAAATACTAAAGTCAGTTCAGTTCCCACCCTCCCTCCAGTGGTCAGACGAAGGGCACCGTGAAGAGGAAGCTGTATGAAGACGGAGGTCTGCCCTCCATCTCTGACGGGCCTAAGAAGGGCACCAAGAAAGCCAACGCTGCTGTCACCATGGCAACTCAGGGCACTCCAAACGTCATTTCCGTGCCCACTGGTCGGGTGGTCGTAGCGTCAGGACTACAGGGTGCCCCCTCCAGACAGCCCACCCTGAAGAAACAGAAGACTGCAGGTGGGTCTGGAAACTACACGGTTACTGCAAAATAAATCTGTTAATATCACAATCTCTTCTTCATCAAACCTGATAGTTAAACTAAAATATGTGTAGACACTCTTTTACTTGCGCAATTATTTTGCAACTGTTTTTTTCCAAACTTTTCAATAAGTAATTGATCTCCATTAGCAACAACATATTTCCACAGGCATCATATTATCTATATCTTGTTTATCCATGTCTATTCATCTGTTTACATCCGGTATTTCTGGAAGATTGCAGATAAAGATAAGGTCAAATCTTTAGCCCACGCAGAAAAAAACCAAATGATATATTGCTTTTTTATTTTTTAAGTGTTGTGATTGCTGTTTTGGGTTGAAGCTGTAAGATAAGTTATTTGTGTTGTTAGACAGTCCAGTTCTATGTAGTCTACAAGATGTAATGTCTCACTTCTGCAAATAATAATAATAATAATACATGTTATTTATATAGCGCTTTTTCTGGTGCTCAAAGCGCTTAAATGAGTGACAACTAGCCAACAACTGTATGATATAGGCAGGGTTCTTAAGGTCATTAAAAACCTGGAAAAGTCATTGAAATTCAAAATGCAAATTCCAGGCCCTGGAAAAGTTATGGAAAACAATATTTTTCCCAAAGTTATGGAAATGTATCAAATATAATTTATATGTTATCTAATCGCCGAAATAGTAATACTATAATGATAATACATACTGTATCGTATAGTAATGAAACGTCAAATGGCATTTAACTGACGAGGTATTTTGCTGGTGAGAGATTTGAGTTGCTTTAGCGTGTAGAAGCTAGTAAGCCTATTTGATTT